TTTTAAACCACACACACAAAAGAAGGGAGGAGTTAGAGGACCGATCTAGCCACTGTGAGTCATTCCGCACTTTGCTTTTTCCCCCGGGAGAGCAAATGGATGGGGAGAGTTTATTGAGAAACAATTATGGTGAGAACTGACTAGGTGTCCCCTCCCTGTCCCTTTTCTCTGTAGTCGCGCTCATGCCTGGCACGTCCCAGATGGAGGTGGGGTCAAGTGACAGCCGGCGCACCTAGATGGGGAAATGGCTACAAGCTAGCACGCTGGAAACTTTCTGGGAGAGTGAAACTGTGAATGTCGAACCTCACACATTCTTGCCGCAGACAGCCATGGCCCTAGTGCGTTACTGAATTAAACGGGAAGGTGGTCACAACAGGAGGAGACCTTCAGTAGCATTCGGCTTAGTACTGCATGGGAGAGGGCGGTGGAGACGACCGGATCCCCCTGCCTTGGGGGATGGGAGGTACCTGGATAGGAGCAGCCAGCTCAGGGTCTCCAGGCTACTACCGGGTCCCTGATGCTGGGTCAGAAATGCTGTGTTCTCTAATCATTTCCAGAGGCACTGTCACATCTCAGCGTGGTACAGGGCTGCTGGCCATGTGCATGGATTGCTATACAGATGAGGCAGAAAGGCCGGGCAGAGGCCAACAGGCCCTTCCATGCACATGGAAGAATGTTCTTCAGTGGGTGGCTGCTGCTAATTTTCCCAGAGGGAATCATTTAGGTTTGTTCTCATTCTATTTGCTGCAGTCAGACAGCCGGCTGTCTGTCGCTGGGTCCTCCTAGTTCACAGCTCAGTGACATTTTTTGGGGAGGGAAGGGCTCCGCTGAAGGTCTTTGTGACCTTTTTTCTGACGATTAATTTGTTTTATCCCCCTGAAAACAGAGGCTTGATACTAGACATTTGAGAAATTGGAGATAAAAGGACCTCTTTTGTTCCAGATTTAGCTACGGTTGAGGGGTCGGTTAATTTTGACACAGAAGCCAGGTAGTGACGAGTACAGTGGCTTCATTATGACTGGATGGTCTGCTTGGCCAGAGGCTGAGGCCCAAGTAGAGCTCCCTTCTTGCTCCATAAGGTAAGCTGACCACCCAGCCATGGTGAAGGAGCTAGGAGCCCCAGGTAGGACGTCACATGGAGAAGAGGGATAAGTGCAACCTGGGGCCCATCTAGAGGACAACAGAGTGTCTCCTCCTATTTCATGACCTGGATGGAGGTGACAAAGGATGGAGGTCAGGCATGATAGCTCACTCCTGTAATCCTAGCACTTTGAGAGGCTGAGTTGGGAGGATCACTTGAGGCCAGGAATTCATCCCTACAAAAAAATTTAAAAATTGGCTGTGTGTGGTGGCATGTACCTTTAGTCCCTACTACCTGAGAGACTGAGGCAAGAGGATTGCTTGAGCCCAGTAGTTTGAGGCTGCGGTGAGCTGTGATTGCACCACTGCATACCAGGCTGAATGACAGAGAGACACTCTGTCTCCAAAAAGAAAAAAAAAATGTGTGTGTGTGTATGGGGGGGGTTACTAGAGGGGATGGTCCCCTGTCTCTACCACCTCACTCTGGCAAGGCTTCTTTTACTTCGATGCAAAGTCTGGGTCAGATTATTGCAAGACAAAGTCATTAACTGTTAAAGGAAGCAGAGTATGGTTGTAGGAACTGTGTATGGTTGTGCAGTATGCAAGACACAGCGACTCCTGGCTGAGAAAGCCATGTGCCCTGGGTCTGTCCAAAAGAAGGGTGCCTCTTTCTCAGTTGCACCAGGTCACCTGACAGGCTACTGCTGTCCCCAGCCGGTGAGCCCATCTAAGGAATAAACCATGGCAACATGGGTGTTCCCAACACAGGAAGTTGGGGACTAGGAACCAGGAGCTAGCTTCTCCAAAATATAACAATAAGGGGGCATAATTGTTTGCATACATTATCTCGTTTAATCCTTCCTGCAACTTCCTGAAGAAAGTAGTGGTAGTACCCTAATATGCCCGTGAGGAAACTGATCCTTAGACTGCCTAGTCAAGGTCATGCAGTCAGCAAATCCAGGTTTGTCTGTCTCCAGAGCCTTTGTTCTCAACTAGAGTAAGAACATTGCGTGGGTTTCTAACAGATTGTAGCTTTTTTTTTTTTTTTGCTAGTGAAAGACATTTTCCGAATTATTCCATTATACACATTAACAGTAAATTCAGCTGGATGGGGTGGCTCACGCCTGTAATCCCACCACTTTAGGAGGCTGAGGTGGGAGGCTCACTTGAGCCCAGGAGTTCCAGACCAGCCTGGGCAATATAGTGAGACCTTGTCTCTACCAGAACAAAAGAAAAAAAATGAAAAAATTAGGTGTGGTGGTACGCACCTGTAGTCCCAACTGCTCAGGAAGCTGAGGTGGAAGGATTGCCTGAACCCAGGATGTCAAGGCTTTTGTGAGCCTGCACTCCAGCCTGGGTAGCAGAGTGAAACTCTGACTCAAAAAAAAGGAAATCCCTTCTATGAAAAGGGTATTTGCGAGTATATTCAGTGGCCACAGAAAAGTGTGACCTTGGAGACTAAGGGAGGAGGAGCCCCTGAGATTGAGGAGTCACATGAGGAGGGAGAGTCAGCCAGGACTGAGAAATAATGTGGAGAGCGTGGGGAGTGGCATGAGGACAGACTCCGAGAGTTCCCTGATGTCCCTACAAGACAAGACGAAGAGGAGATGATTCTGAGATTAACTTCCCAAGAGTCTGGACCTGGCCCACCAGGACACCCCAGATGTTGAGTCTCCACAGCCCACCTTACTTGGCTTGAGTACCAAGATGATTAGTCTGTGTGATGAGCAATCTGAGTTGCAATAGCTAATTTAAGAGCATTAAGTATTTCCTGAGTCAGTATTTTACCTGTAAGGCCATTTGAACCTCATGATAAATTTTTATGACACAAGAGTCAAATGTCTGGGACTAAAGCAGATAACATCTGGATGTTGTATCACATTCTTGTAGTCCCAGCTACTTAGGAAACTGAGGCGAGAGAATCATTTTAGCCCAGGAGTCCACATCTAGCCTCGGCAACACAGTGAGACCCCACCTCTAAAAAAAAAAAAATTGCATGAACCAATAGATTCACTATTAAAAATATAATAAAGCATATAACAGCAAAACCAGTTATATGACCTCTGTTGTACATTAAAATTGGTAAAAATTATTTGTTTTCCTTCACTTGAATTTTCTAAATCAAAGAACACTTCATTCTTTCCATATTAAGTTATAGTGTCTTCCTGCATATTCAGTCTTTAGACATTTTTTTTTTTTTTTTAAAGTAGCAGGAGTGATTTCTTTAGCTGAAACATAAGCACAGTAGTTGGGGCCTGCGTGTTGACCTGTATTGTGTTTGCCGCTTTAAGCTGGATTTGAGTGATGGTTGATCCTTTCACTGGAAAAGAAAATAAGGCAACAGATAGTAGCCGGAATGTTCCCTCAGCACTTGCTAAGAGCGTGCCTGACATCAGGCAGTGAGACTTGAGGGACAGGCAGTGAAAGTGTTGCAATGCCATTCAGCCCCTGGAAGCAGATGGCATGACCATGGTATGGTGTGTCCCATTGCCTGCTGGACCTGTCACACAAAAGGCTATAGAAAAGATGCCTGTGGCCTCAGATGGCCTGTTTGGCTGGCTTCTTATTCCAGAGTATTTACTTGCACATCCAGAAACAAATACATCCAAATTGCCTTTCTGATCAAGGGGGTTGGAATTCTCCTCCAGCTCAGTAGGAAAGGAATGGGGACCAGTTTATTTGGTAGGAAAGACTTGGGACCAACAAACCAAGTACAAAAGGGGATTTTCCAGAGAAAATTGTTCTGTGCCTATGCTTTTTTTTTAAATTTAAATTTAAATTTTTTTTGAGTTGGAGTCTCACTCCATCGCCTAGGCTGGAGTTCAGTGGCATGCTCATGGCCACCCCAGCGTTGACCTGCTGGGCTCAGGCAATCCTTCCACCTCAGACTTCCAAGTAGCCAGAACCATAGGCACGTGCTACCATGACTGGCTAATTTTTTTATTTATTGTAGAGATGGGGATCTCGCCAAGTTGCCCAGGCTGTTCTTGAACCCGTGGGCTTAGGCAATCCTCTCACCTCAGCTTCCCAAAGAACTGGGTTTATAGGCTTGAGCCACCATGCCTGGCCTGTGCCCGTGCTTTCAGCCTCATGGAAGAAAGTGTTAGTGATAGTAGCTTGCCTCCCTTGAGACCTTATTAAAGCCAGGCGGTGTTGGGAATCCCATTTAATCCTCATGACAATTCTATAAGGCAGGAGCTCTCATCATCCTTATTTGAGTGCTAAGGAAACAGGCCCAGAGAGCTTAAGTAATTTGTCTAAAGGCACACAGAATCAGACCCGAGTAGTCCAACCCAAGAATGATCCTGGTAAATCCAGAGAAAGCATCTATGGAGGGTGTGGTGGGAATGGAGACTGATAAAATGTGATCTGGGTCATAGTTTAGTATTTGGGCAAATTCTAAGACTGGAGACTTAGACAACTTTCACTACTAGATGACTCTTTCACTCTGCAAAATGCCACAGGAAGGGGCTCAGAGAGGGTAGGGGCCATGCACAACTGATACATGGCAAGGCTGGGACACAAACATTCCTAGCATTCACAGTTTGCCCATCTGAAAAAAAAAAACCAAAAACTCAAGACCAGGCATGTTGGCTTGAGCCTGTAATCCTCACACCTTGGGATGCTGAGGCAGGAGGATTGCTTTAGGCTTTTGGAGTGCAAGAGCAGCCTGGGCAACACAGCGAGACCCCCATCACTACAAAACAATTTTTTTTTTTTATTTGCCAGGCATGGTGATACAAGCCTGTAGTCCCTGCTGGACATTTGGGAGGCTATAGCAGAAGGATCACTTGAGTCAGGAGTTGGAGGTCGTAATGAACTATGATCACGCGCCACTGTGCTCCCGCCTGGGTGACAGAGTGAGACCCTGTCTCTTTCCAAAAAAAAAAAAAAGGAAAAGAAAGAAAGAAAATTTCCAAATAAGTGTATATTTTTAACTTGACCCTTTCACCAGTATTGAAGGTCATATTTTCACACAGAATAGCCTCCCCTCTTCTCCTTGGGACAAGTCAGCCCTTTCTAGGACAAGATGTTGTTCCCAAACAGTCATTTCCTCTATCTGTTCTGTGTGTGTGGACCACAAGCCTGGCCATCACTCATGCCGTCGTGTGCCCTGCCTCGTGACTTCTCCATTAGACTCTCTGTCTCTCAGTTCCATCACACGGGCCTGTGTGCCTGAGTGCTGCAAAGAGACCTTAAGCTGTGTCAGAATCAGGATCATGTTTTACACAATGTCGCTTCCTTCCCCTACACAATGTGCTAAAACCCAACAGTGACTATTTATTGATTTTTCTTCATTGACTGAGGTAAAGTGGTGACTTTTTTTTTTTTTTAAACTTTGCCAACTGGTTCAAGGACATTTTTAAATGACTTGCCTTATGGGGTTGATAAATATAGGATTCCATTAAAAACGTCTTTCTAAAGGGCAGTCCTGCATCAGAAACCCGAGGGCACCGGATGCGATAGGTCCTGTGGCCAGGCCCAGGAATCTGCATATGACTGCAGATGACTTTTCTGCCCCCTAGAGTTTAGAAACGATGACTTAAAAGTATTTAATGATCACATCCCATAAAATCATAGTATAAGTGTCTGTCTAGCTCTTGTTTCCTTACGGTACATATGTCCATTGCAGGAACATCCCTACCAACGCACTCATGAATATTTACATGACATTATTTTTCCTGCAGATTTCTAACCAGCATAATGCTGGAGCAGGGGGCTGCCAGGCTGCAGTTTCCAGAATGGCCGAGCTGGATGCCGATTTGGATCACATCCTCCCGTCTTCCATTCTTGCTCCTTTCCGGGCTAAGTTAGTGGTGGGATTTGTTTCCCTCGTGTGTTTTGCACGGAGCTACGACGGTGATTTTGTCTTTGACGACTCCGAAGCTATTGTTAACAATAAGGTTTGTATCTTCACTCTCTTCCGGGAAGCTTCTGTTACCCACCGCCTGCGTGTCAGTTTGCGCTGCAGTCTTTTCTGCGAAACTTCAGTGAAGGGTTTGCCTGGGTCCCACCTGTGCCATAGATGTTGGGTCTCTTCAGCGTCATCTCCTTAGTTTAGTGTCTCCTGCGTTGCTGGCAGCAAGGCCTCCAGGTTCTGCCTAAAGTCAGGCTTTCCCCTCATGAGACCCCGTCCACACACATATCAGAGAGAAGCCATTCCTCTGGGATGAAAAGGCAAAGGTATTGTGGGGCACTGCAGACGATCTATTTCAGGCGTTATGTGAACAATGTCCAGAATTGTTAAAAACAAACAATTTGCTGCAGTGATGGACAGGTCTGATCCCCTGTCGAAAGGTGTATCCTTGCAGTAGGCAACGAGGGGTTGCTGCTGTGTCCTTCCCTGGCAGGATCAGGACAACCTGCTGACAGTTGCTGGGGCAGGAGGCATGTGCTGCCGGTGGCCGCTGTTGTTCCTGTCCAGTTCATGTGTGGAGATTCACAGTTGCTGAGCTTGCAAAATGCCGGTCAGTTTTGGTCACCAGTGGCTGCTCTGTTTCAGTGCAGGAAAAATGGTATTCCTTTCCACTCGCTAACTGGAGATAGGGAAGAAGAAATAGGCATGTGGGGAGGGTAGAAAAAGATTCAAACACATTAGAAGAAAATCAGAACAAGAAACTTAGAGGCAGATAAGGCCCAGAGGAGAAAGAACTCAGAGATGGCAGGAGTTAGAGCCTTTGTGAGCATCTAGTTACTCAGCAGATAGTTTGTTTCTTTTCTTTTTCTTTCTTTCTTTTTTTTTTCCCCCTTTGGGGTGGGGGGAGGCTGAGGTGAAAGGATTACCTGAGTCCAGGGGTTGATACTTTGTTTCTTAACCAGTGAAGAGACCTTTGGAATCCACTAATTTAGGTCAATTTAGGTCTCTAGTAGGCATAATTGTAGCAAGTGTTTGTAACACTGTTATTGAATGCTTTTAAAAATTTGAAGTCATAGATTCTACCAAATGAGAAGTTATTTTCATAATGAAAATGTTAAGAAAAATTCTCTGTGTGACAAGCATGTATTCTATTCTAAAGACATTTTCTTTAACGTGATAGTGCAATTGATCTCCTTTTGATGTATATACTAGAGCATTGTTCATGTTTATGTTTAATTCTAGTTCTTCATTTGAAATTTTCTTCAAGGTTCACCCAGCAGTTACTGGTTTGTTGTTGTTGTTGTTGTTGTTGTTTTTAACCATTTAAAAAAGAACTAAGTACCTCTAAAGCAACTATGGTACATGGGTGGCTTTATTGCCACAGTGTGGCTTTTCTCACAAAGATGTGACTTTATTTTTTAAATTCTGTTATCCATTTTGGCAAGAGTTTCTTGATGCTTCCACTTTATAAAACGGAAGATAGGGAAAGTGTTCATTCAGAAACGATGTTGAAAAATTTTGGTCTGCCAGGCAGAACAATGAGTTTGGTTGTGTGGAGGGCCCTGGTGCTTGGGTATAATTCTCGTTCTTTCTGTGAGGTGAGGCAGATGAAGCCATTTTGTGGCTCTGCTGAGCATTGTCTTGGCAGTGTTTTCAGGAGCATCACACTGTGCCCCTTTTGTTAACTTGCTGGCCCTCCCTTTTTCCCTTCCTGCTGAATGAAAGGCTCTCCTCCGTTCACTGGCACCATGCCCACAGTAATGTGAAACAGGCTGTTCCTGGATTTTGGTGATGTTGGAGACTGTTTTCCAGATGCTTCCTCGTAGCGTTGAGTTGCCTTTTCAGTTCCTTGAGATGACGGTCCTCTTTGAGGCAGTGGAGTTAGGGAGGATTTCAGACACAATACATCTTCTCCATAAATCATGATGAAGAAAAATGGACCTTTCTTTCCGTAGCATGCCCTGCTGTGTGGAGGCTGCTACTAATCAAATATTTAGAGCTTCGTTGGTGTTCAGTTCCCGTTCCAGGGGAGGGAGAGATCCTCTGCCCAACAGCCTCACAGCTGAGCAAGTACTTACTTCTGTCACAGTGCAAAAGAAGGGAGACTTCCAGCGTTGTCACGGAGTCAACTAAGTTAGCAGGCGTGTCATGCCGCCTTCACGAAATCTCTAACCAGCTCCTGGGGGCGGGAGGGATGACTGGTCAGTGCGCACAAGGCCTCCGAAGCTGAGCCCCAGTGGAAGTGAAAGTCACTCTTATGGTAGGAATCAGGTGACCAGCTTTGGGTCGTCACCTCTTCTCAAGCCTTTCCATTTGAGTCTGCAAGTACTGAACCCCATGCCGTGTGGTGGACATGTGTCGCTCCTTTGGGCCGCCTGTCATTTGACCCACTTCTTCTGTTTGGGGCATTCGTAAGTGCTCAAAGACAGTTTGGTCGGGAAGTGGGCACAGACGTGAGCTGTCCTGTCAGGTGCGCCCACCGGTTGGAATCAGAAGCCAGTCATGCAACGAGGCAGGGGTCCGAAGGCAGCCGGGCAGTCTCAGCGAGGTGCCGGGTGGCCTGATTTGTGGTAGTGTCTCTGGCCACACAGCCCTGCTCTGGTTTCCCAGCCCCCACCCCCCCGCCCCCCCGTGGGTCTATGAGGCTCAGATTCTCCTTTAAAACACTCCTTTTTTGCTTACATGAGTCAGCGTTTGGATACTGCAGTGAAAGATTTTGACTGATTTACCAGGAGGTGACCAGCACGTCGTAACTTCTAGTTTCTAAAACATTCTTGTTGAATTATGCTTTTTTATTTTTATTTTATTTTATTTTTTTGAGTCAGAGTCTCACTCTGTTGCCCAGACTGGAGTGCAGTGGCCACTCCCAGCCCCCGCAGCCTTGACCTGCTGGGCTCTGGCGATCCTTCCACCTCAGCCTTCCAAGTAGCCAGAATTACAGGCACACGCTACCACGCCCGGCTGATTTTTTTAATTTATCGTAGAGATGAGGTCTCGCCAACTCGCCCAGGCAGGTCTCAGGCAATCCACTCACCTCAACCACCCAAGGTGTGGGATTACAGGCTGAGCCACCAAGCCTGGCTATGGTTTTTTATTTTTATTTTTTGAGTCAGTCTGTTGGCCAGGCTGGAGTGCTGTGGTGCAGTCATGGCCACTGCAGCCTCGACCTCTTGGGAGGTGATCCTTCCACCTCAACCTCCTGAGTAGCTGGGACTACAGGTTTGTGCCACCATGCCCGGCAATTTTTTTTTTTTGTAGACACGAGATCTCACTTTGTTGCCCAGGCTGCTCTCAAACTCTTGGGCTCAAGCAATCCTCCCTCCTTGGCCTTCCAACTTCATGGGATTAGAGGCGTGAGCCACTGCACCTGGCCTAATTATGCTTTCCAGAGAAAATCAATCTTCAGTTTTTTACTTACTCCACAGTACTTTGTTTTCCTTCATCTCATTAGACACAGCTTAAGTCATCTAGTTCCATATTTTAAATGCTGAAAAAGATGCATTTTTAAGCATCTGTGCTATACTAGCACATTAAATTAGCTCAGCGTAAGATAGGTACAACTTTTTAATGTTTAGTGATTTTTTTTTTTTTTTTTAGTTGTAGTCTCACTCGGTCGCCCAGGCTGGAGTGCAGTGGTACACTCACAGCCACACCAGCATCAACCTTCTGGGCTCTGGTGATCCTTCCAAGTAGCCAGAACTACAGGCATGTGCTACCACGCCCAGCTAATTTTTTTATTTTATTGTAGAGATGAGGTCTCACCAAGTTACCCGGGCTGGTCTGGAACTTGCAGGCTCAGGCAATCCACTCGCCTTAGCCTCCCAAAGTGCTAGGATGAAAGACTGAGCCACCAAGCCCGGCCTAGTGATTTTTATCTGTAAAAATCATGTGGAAGGGTTTCTGTCTAATTTCACAATCTGCTTAGCTCATGATCAAAAATGGAAAACTTTAAAAAAAGTGTTTATCCCTACTTATGTTTTAACGGGGATATTTTTGGTAAATTACCTTATTTGTTGGATATGAGAGATAAGTGATCTGATTTAGCTATATAGCCCATTTATTCAGCATGTATTAAGCACCTTCTGTATACTCCTGACAAACTCGAGTGGCCAAGGCCCTGTGGAGCCTCATCTAGTGGTGGAGACAGATAATAGTTACGTGATGATAAGTTGCCTATGTGTCTCTCATGGCTTGTTGGGGCAAGATGCCCCAGGACCCATGGGAGGGATGAGGAGGTGGGATCAGCTCAGGAAGGACAGAGCTCAGTGGCTGAGAAGAGTTGAGGGTGACCGTCTGGGGGCAACCTGCATGTGTAGAACCTCTGGAAGGGCCATTACAGGAGCACAACCTCGGTGAGGTAGGCCTGTAGAGTTCTGGGGGAGCCAGGGCGCCCCAGGCTGTGGTGTCCCCATCAGGACATGGTTTCTTCCCTGGAGGGTGGGAAGCTATTCATTGTTTTAAGCCGGTGGGTTGAGCCCATGTGCATTTGAAACCAGTCAACCTGGAGAACACGTCGGAGGGCAACCTGGGAAACCCGTCTGCATCCTGGAGAGAGGTGCAGGGGCTGGGCCCAGGGCTGGTGGGAGGGATGGAGAGCAGGGGCAGATTTGAGAGCTCTGGGGACTCTCAAGAAGAGGGTTTGTGGGGACTTTGGTCAAGGGAGGATGCCGTTGTCCAGCATATCCCCCGGTGTGTCCCTGCAGGACCTCCAAGCAGAAACGCCCCTGGGGGACCTGTGGCATCATGACTTCTGGGGCAGCAGACTCAGCAGCAACACCAGCCACAAGTCCTACCGGCCTCTCACCGTCCTTACGTTCAGGTGAGGCCTGACAGCGCGGAGACGGGAGGGTCACTTGCGTGTGACCTTGGGCACGGTTGTGTCTCAGCCTTGGGGAGTGTAGTCCATGATTCCTGGGGAGGCATGTGCAACACACACACGTGGGTCTGTAAGAAATATGGCTAATTGCAGTGGTTAAGAGGGGTATTTCAGGAAGATTGAGAGAAGGTGCCTGAGGAAACTTTGTTTCAAAGTGCTCATTCAGCAGTACACACACTGAGATGAAACATGGCGGAGGAGATGAGTGTAGCCCCTGCACAAAGATTATGGGTACATCGGTGAAGCACTCCATATTTTTCTCAGTTCTCAGAGGTTCAGCCTTTACTGGTTAACACCAAGGAAATGATGTGAGTCAAGCGACATGTGGCATCTGATGAAACTGATTTTTTTTGCTACAAAAAAAAAGTAAACCGGGAGCAGTGGCTCACATCTGTATTCCCAGCACTTTGGGAAGCAGAGGCAAGAGGACTGCCTGAGCCCAGGAGTTCGAGACCAGCCTGGGTAACTTGGAAAGACCTTGCCTCTACAATATATCAAAAAATTAGCCAGGTATGGTGGCATGCGCCTGTGGTTCCAGCTACTTGGAAGGCTGAGGCAGAAGGATCACCTGAGCCCAATAGTTCGAGGCTGTGGTGGCCATGAGCGTGCCACTGCATTCCAGCTTGGATGACAGAGACTCTGACCAAAAAAAAAGTAAAGTATGAATCTTCCTACTGTTACCAAGTCAATATGCAGAGACAAAATGAAGCTTAAAAACAATCCCCACTCCATTAATCAGAGACTTATTTGCATTAAATAGATTGTATTCGCCTCACAAAGGTTCCCATCTCTACCAGTTTCTCAGGTGCATTTAAATACTTGTATGTAGACCTCACAGGGAAGCATGGGCATGATGAATTGGAAGCAGCAACTGAAAAACAGAATAAGAATCCCTGACAGTGAGAGAGTGTTTCGATGGTATATACAGTTAAAGAGCCCTTTCTGGGTAGATAAGTGTATTATATAACTATCCTAAATCCAGGTCCCTATGGGGCAGCCATGAGTAGTGTGTGGTATATTATATTTTCTTGGAATGCAGTCATGCCCCTTAAAAAATTGTCTAGTGGCCAGGTGTGGTCATGCCTGGAATCCCAGCACTTTGAGAGGCCAAGGCAGGAGGATTGCTTGAGCCCAGGAGTTCAAAACCAGCCTTGGCAACATAGCAAGATCTAATCTCTACAATAAATTTTTTAAAAATAGCTGTGTGTGATGATGCAGCTACTCGGGAGGCTGAAGTGAAAAGATTGCCCGAGCCTAGGAGGTGGAGGCCACAGTGAGCCTCCAGCCTGGGTGACAGAGTGAGACCCTGACTCGTTAAAAAAAAAGTCTAACTTTCCTCTCAGCTTTGCTCCTCACATGTCTTCAGGGCCACTCCCCTTGGCCTCATCCATTTCATCGATTTTTTCCTCTGTGGTTTATTATGATTCCACCTTTTCTTCAATATTTTTAGCTTGACAAGTGTTATTTATCTTGATACTACTTTTTACCAATCTGGCACAAAGTCTTTTTCTTCTCTTAGTATTTTCTCACACAAGCCTTTCCCTTCAGACTGTTGCCCCATCTTGCCATGTACTGCTGCGTGTCTAGCTTGAATGTCCTGTGTTTACTGCAGGATCAACTACTATCTGTCAGGAGGCTTCCACCCTGTGAGCTTTCATGTGGTCAACATCCTCCTGCATGGTGGCATCTCTGTCCTCATGGTGGACGTCTTCTCGGTGCTGTTTGGCGGCCTGCAGTACACCAGCAAAGGCCGGAGGGTGCACCTGGCCCCCAGGGCGTCCCTGCTGGCTGCGCTGCTGTTTGCTGTCCATCCTGTGCACACTGAGTGTGTAAGTATCACCTCCCCGTGACATCTGCACACGCGTCAGAAGTGATATGACATCCCTGGATCATCTTGTTTCCTAAAACAGGCTCCCTTTATATACTCATCTTGGTTCCTGAGCTGGAGAACGTATACTCTATAAATGGAAAGTATGTAAACCTAGGCAACATAGCAGGACCTTGTCTCTATAAAACAAAAACAAGAAACAGCCGGGCCTAGTAGCTCAGGCCTGTAATCCCAGTACTTTGGGGAAAAAAAGGTGGGAGGATTGCTTGAGTCCAGGAGTATGAGACTAGCCTAGGCAACATAGTGAGACCTCATCTCTACAAAAAGTCAAAGAATGACCTGGGCATGGTGGCACACACCTGTAGTCCCAGCTACTGAGGAAACTGAGGCAGAAGGATCACCTGAACTCACACAGTCGAGGCTGCAGTGAGCCATGACATGATCATACTACCGCACTCCAGCCTGGGTGACAGAGTGAGACCCTGACTCAAAAAAATAAAATAAAATACATAAATGCCTTGCCAGACCAATTCTTATCTAGGTTAGAGACATATTTTCTCTTGGGAAAAAATATAGATGCCATATTGATGGAGACTTTATAATAAGGTCTGGTATGACCTTTGGTGATAACTTTCTGTGAAGTATAAATGTTGGATATCGCCTGGCTTTTGGATTCTGAAGGCCAGAGGCTGAGAACCATTCTTCAGCGAAGGGTCCAATGCAGTTTTTCTGGTTTAGCTGTCAGCTTTATGATTTACAAAATAGTTTCTTAGACTTGACATAGTTGTCATAAAAGCACTATAATGCCTGATGCACTAGTAGAACAATTTCCACTTTACAGATGGCCTCGGTGGATAAATAAAGGATTTATACTGGGTAAGTAGCAAGTTAATGTGGGATGGGACTTAAGTTCTGGCTTCCTGGGTCCCTGCTGAGAAGATACTGACATCCTTTGAGTTGAACTGTGGAACTACTCCTGAAATCCCTCCCCCTTCCTCCTCTCCACTTCTAGTGTGATCCTCTTCTCCTTGACAGACTGGACCCAGGTAAGTGGGCAGCTCCTGATGGATTACCTCACCTGCTCTCGTGGGGGCTAGACCTCCATCCCATGGAGCAGGTGCTGCGTGTTATTTGGAACAGACTGTGTTGGGATTTCACTCGACATTTGTGAGGTTTTCAAGAACCACCTGCCCCCACCAGCATGAGCCCTCTGGAAATGTGAGTCAGCGTGTTTCCTGAGGTGAAGGATTTGCTGTGAGTCTTCCACTCTGTGAGCTCGAAGTACTTCGGATAAAATACTGCATATGTGTTAACACCTCTCACCACAGACGGCTGCCTCTCATATAGATTCAAATTCCTACATTTAACCAGTTGTGCTGATCTTTTTGAAGTGAGTTCCAAAAATTGAGCAGTATTTTTGAGCTGCTGACTTTATTAAACTGTGGTTTGGTATCAGGGGTATTGTGGCATATTTTTTTATTTTTATTTTTTAGTTTAGCAAATTCAGAGGACTTGTGGGCTTGATAGGCTAGGGACTGCTGTGAAAACATTTAGTTATAAGCTTTTTATTTATGCATAACTGTAACTGAATTAGAATTTGCTTTATGTGAGTTCTCTGTGGTTTAAATGTCTATTGGGACCCAGAGGTAGTGTATGCATTGATTCATAAATAAGGGACTGGAATATACTGATTCACTGTTTTGCTTCTTGCCTAATTTAGTGTGATCATAAAAGCAAAATGAAATATCTGAATTTTCAACCAAAGAAAGTTTTCCAAAATTCCCATTTTAAGTTTTGAGAAATTGATTTGTAAAAAAGGTTTCGAGTGCCAATGAGTATAACTGGATATACTTACACACACATCAGAAAAATGAAATCTGGAGACATGGTAATCTTAAAAGTTCACATTCCAAGCTGGGTGTAGTGGCTTACACCTATAATCCCAGCATTTTGGGAGGCCAAGATGGGAGGATTGCTTGACCCCAGGAGTTCGAAACCAGCCTGTGCAACATAGTGAGCCCTTGTCTCTACAAAAAAAATTTTTTTTAATTAACTGGATGTGGTGGTGCATGCCTGTAGTCTCAGCTGTTTGGGAGGCTAAGGCAGAAAGATTGCCTGAGCCCAGGAGGTCAAGGCTTCATTGAGCTGTGATTGTGCCACTGCACTCCAGCCTGGGCACCAGAGTGAGACCCTGTCTCAAACAAACAAACAAAAAGTCTACATTCCAGATTTATTTATTTATTTATTTTTAAATTTTTAAAAAATTTATTTTATTTATTTATTTATTTATTTTTATTTTTTTAACATTTCTTTTTGAGTTGGAGTCTCATTCTGTCACCCAGACTGGAGTACAGTGGCCGCTCCCGGCCACCGCAGCCTCGACCTGCTGGGCTCCGGCGATCCTTCCGCCTCAGCCTTCCAAGTAGCTGGAATTACAGGCATGCACTACCACACCTGGCTGATTTTTTTTTTTTTTTTTTGTAGAGATGAGGTCTTGCTGCCCGGGTGGGTCTCGAACCCGTGGGCTCAGGCAATCCACTCACCTCAGCCTCCCAAAGGCGCGGGATTACAGGCTGAGCCGCCGAGCCCGGCTCATTCCAAATTTTTAAAAGGAAACTAAGGCAGGTTAACTATTGGAGAGAAAAGAATATTAGAGAAATCTCTTCATCCTCCCCCCCCTCCCCATTTCATGACAGCTATTCAAACTCAGATTTCAAGAAATGGTTATGGATAACTAGAAGTTATCATCCTAAGGCAGATATTTTTTGTGTGTGCCTTTCATTGCCTTGAAATTGCCCATTTGTCCCATCCACGTTCCCGTTAATCTCCCTTGATGTTTAAAAACTCCAGCTTTAAAAATGGGCAAAAAGTAGAACACCCAAGAAAACGGGTGGCAAGTGAGGTCCCCACAGGTGTCCTGGCTAGCACCAAGAAGGCAGCCCAGCTCTCCAGTTGCCTGGGACACAGGCCTGAGTGACAGCCTTGGACACAGTGTCCCCAGTGTGTGCTGATCCCTCATGGGACGAGGACAGTGGGGATTTGGGTGGTAAATGGGCCTCTGTTTACTTATTTGTTTGTTTATGTTTTGAGTCAGATTCTCACTGTGTCACCCAGGCTGGAGTGCAGTGGCATGCTCACAGCCACCCCAGGGTCGACCTGCTGGGCTCGGGTGATCCTTCTGCCTCAGCCTACCAAGGAGTTGGATCTACAGGCACACGCTACCATGCGTGGCAATTTTTTTGATATATTGTAGAGACGAGGTCTTTCCAGGTTTCCCTTCTGGTATAGAACCCCTCGGCTCAAGCAATCCTCTCGCCTCAGCCTCCCAAAGTGCTGGGACTACAGACTGGAGCCACTGTGCCTGGTTCTGTTTACATTTATTAAGAGAAACTAGTGGCAGTGTAGGCCCCTGCAGATTTTAGTGCCATAAAATTCTTTATATTAATATTTATGTGTTTTGTGTCTTTGCTGCTGCCCAATGTTAACACTGAAAATGTTTTTGCCCACTACAAATAAGCACCTATGTCTTCCAGTCTTCTGGAGGTGACCAGCCCTTCTGGGGTGACCAGTGTGCCCAGGACTTTCCATTTTAAAACCAGAAGAGGCCAGCAAATGGGGGTGACTTGGCTGCCCTGCAGTCTTGCCACATCACTTTTTTGATTGGTGGTGCAATAATTGCAGTCAGCTGATGTGAGTGTCTCTCTTTTTCAAATATGCCACCCCAAATCGCTCCAGGTTATTTGTAGACATACAGGGTCTCTGACAGGCTGGAGGAATGAGAGCTGGGGAGGGTGGCACAGACCCTGGTCTGTTGATGGCTCAGCAGACCTGTGTAGCCATTGGGAGGAGGCCCCCAGGATTTCCCTGAGGACAGGAATGCCCCTGTATGGGTTTTACTTATACTTTTCTGCAAAGCATTGGGGAAGATTTCAAGTTGCCTAATTTACAGTATGAGAGAGAGAAGCCCAGGTCTCCTTGAGTTTTGCTCATAGCTGGGCACAGTGGCTCACACCTGTAGTTTCAACACTATGGAGACTGAGATGGGAGAGTTGCTTGAACATAGGCATTCAAGATCAGCCTGGGCAACATAGTAAGTCCCCATCTCTCAAAAAAAAAAATGGCCAGGTGTGATAGTATACACCTGTAGTTCTAGCTACTCAGGAGTCTGAGACTGTAGGATCACTTGAGCCCAGGAGGTCAAGGCTACAGCGAGCTGTGATCATGCCACTGTTCTTCAGCCTGGGCAGCAGAGTGAGATCCCATTTCTAGAACAGCAAACAAAAAATAAAATATAAAGTTCTGCTCATCTAATGTACTCAGACTTTAATCCAGAAGGAATTAGGTAGAGAAGCCTCCCCCACTTCCTTCTTATGGCCCCTGTGCAAATTGTGCCTAGTGGGGAAATCGAGATACCACCTACTTCTTGGATTCAGGGGATTATAATGATTTCCCCAGAAAACCCTGATATGAGTGTTTCACGTTATTTGTAAGGAAAAAACAAATAGCCTTTGTAGAGAAGTTTGCCTGGGAATACATATTATGCAAATATCTGAAAAGGGAAATAAAATCTCTTTTTGCTTATGTTCATTCTCAAGCTATGATTGGATAAAGTCTGTCCTTGGGCAGCCTTTTAACATTTCTTCCTGTGAAAATCTCTCTTAATTGCGATGCCAGAAATTCATTGTTAAGTACTATATACTTTTTTGGCTTTAAAACAGCTTACCATACTTAAACATTTTTTCTTCCTTTATGTCAGACAATGTAATGTACATTGCTTAAAGATTCGGGACTGCCTTCAACAATTAACAAAAAGGGGGAAAAAGTCTTTAAAAATAAGTTTATGATGCTTACTCATTTTTGTGCAATTTTTAAAATCTCCTTTAGCTACCTGGATGATGAATGGCCTAGGCAGGCTGGTCATTTTGGTGTCTATTCCTAGTATTTATCCAAATCACTTCTTTTGCCTTCACTCATCTCTTTTCTCCTTGGTGTCTTATACCACCTCCCCTGCTTCCTCTGACCCCATTGCTCTGTGGTCCTCGTCCTCACTGGAGAGACTTGTCTGGGCTGGCTTTCATTGCTTTCTCTTGTCTAAGGGGTTGGGATTCCGGCCCATCCTCAGGCGCTGTAGACAACCACGGCTCTAAGATGCTCCTGACCCCCTCGTGTTGTCCAGGCTCGAGGACCACAGACCCAGGAGGCTCCCCCTATCTCTGACTCACCACGGTGCTGCCAAGAAGATACCCTGCCTTCCCCACCATCTGTGTCCTTTGTCCCTTTCCTTTCTGCTCCACCTATGGAAGCACCCCATGGGATTCACCAGGGGACCTCCCAGGGAACTGCAACCACAATGTGCTGGGCTGTGTCTCTGGAGCTGCGTCTCTGTTTTCCTGTGTCCCTGATTGAGTGAGCTTACAGCCCCGAGTATCCCAGAACTCTCATTGCATATTCATTTCATTCTTAAAGTAATTGGATTGTTTCACCCTCCAGCATACTGGCATACTTGTTCCAGATCTGTTAAGCCTTTGTTTTGTCCCCTAGCTGCCTTCTCGGTAGGTTTTTCATGTGTGGTATTCACGGGGGCAGATTTATCAGCTTGTTCAGTCTTCCCAGCCATTGCGTGACACCGTGGGCTGCCACGTACACTCCATCAAGGGGTCACAATTAAAGTGGATAGTCGACCTCAGCATCTCATGTGTAACCAGTGTAAAAAAATATAAAAGGCATTTTTTTAAAGCTATTGGTTAGACATGTGCTTGGGAATCCTATGTAAATAAAGTAATTTTCGTAGTCATTGTTCATTCTCCTATCTTGATTTATAGAATAATTCTTTACATATCATATTATCTGTTCTTTGAGAAGGGATTAACCAACGAGGCTTTAAATCAATACCCAGAGAATCACAGCAGAGGCTTTGATACAGGTCACATTCAGGTGCCAGTTAGTAAGGCATCCCACCCAACTAGCCCAGAACTCATGAGTGGGATTCCGGCTCTCATCACTGTGAAACATTTGGAGAACAACTACTGGAGTCATCAGCCTGAAAGAGATAAGCACGTAGTTTACATCACTGCATTGTCACTAAGGAAAAAGTAGGGAAGGGCAGAGTCATGTGGAAAATGGGGGAAAGAAACAGTAGAAATTGTATTCTGTTTTCATCATACCTGTTGATCACTTTTGAGGCATTCGGCTTTCCAGGATAGGCCACTTCTTCAGTTTTGGTCTGAAGGGAGGAAAGGACAACAGAGGCAGCTTTGATGGATTCTTTCAGGGTCTTCTCCTGTCTGCAGGATGGCTTTTAACACTTCTTTCCCACCCTTACGTCCTTTGTGTTTCCAATCAAATTTTACTTTATAAATATCATGCCCTTTGAACTGATAACATTTTCCAGTTGAAAATCTTCCTTGGAGAAGCCTGTGTCTCTGGAACTCCTGGATGTAGCATGTTAAGTAACGTAGCTTTTATTGTACATGTGTGTTGCTGTCTGTGTCCAGCTCACAGAATAGCTATCAGTTGGTTCAAGTCAACTCTTCTCTTGGAAGCAGTTGAATCAAGTGCTAGACCCAAAAGAGAGGAGAGCACCAGTTGTAAGATTACACCTCAGGAGTGTTGCAGAGATACACAGATTGTTTTAATAAGTGGCAGGCCAGAAACGGTGGCTCATGCCTGTAATCCTGGCACTTTGGGAGGCAGGAGGATCATTTGAACCCAGGAGTTTGAGACCAGCCTGGACAGCATAGCAAGACCTCATCTCTACAAAAATTCAAACAATTAGCCTGGTATGTTGGCACATGCCTATAGACCCAGCTACTTGGGTGGCTAAGGCAGGAGGATCACCTGAATCCAGGAGGTTGAGGCTGTGGTGAACTGTGATTGTGCCACCACACTCCAGTCTAGGTGACAGAGTGAGATCCTTGACCTGACTCAAAAAATAAAAATAAGTGGCAGAGTCTAGGAAGTGTCTTGTTTGCTCTGTCTAAAGAATTTTTTGTATTTCTTAAGTTGAGGATTTTTGTAAATCCTAAGTTGAGGATTTGCTTAGATATGTTTTATGTAATTCTTTTTTTTTTTTCTTCCTCTTTTTTTAAGGTTGCTGGTGTTGTCGGCCGCGCAGACCTCCTGTGTGCCCTGTTCTTCTTGTTATCTTTCCTTGGCTACTGCAAGGCATTTAGAGAAAGTAAGCATTATGTTTGCCTTCTTCATGTTTCTGTGGAGCAATGTCTTAGCAGATGAGAAATGATCTGTCTGTGTACATTTATCACTTTGAGGGGGGTGTGGTTCAGAAGATACATAAACTCTCTTTGAATATGTACGTCTGGGTACATCCTTGCTTTTTCTGCAGAGTTCTGACATGAGCGTGCACCCTGGTGTATCCTTTTGGGTGGTGAAACATGAGCAGAAGCAGTAGCAGAACTATTAAAGCAGTTGTGATTGATTTTTGCCATTTTATTTTCAACAAAACTGTAGGATTGCATAGTATTTTAGGACAGCCTGTCCTATTTTGATGTTCTATGTATTTATAGCCTAGCCATCCCTCCATAGTTTCCAAGGGTGTTTTGGAAGGGCCTGGGAGATTTTTTTCACTCACTGTCTCTCCTCCATCCCCTCCTGCTTAGGCTGAACCTAGGCTCAGGTTGTGCCTGGGAACACCTGCAACTCTACTAAGGCATAACAGAAGCGTGACTCAATGGCCTCAGACTGTGCTTAGACTCACTTGGGGCATAAGTACACCCAGCTGCACCCCACTCCCTTTTATTATTATAGCTTTATCATACCAAGATCAAACCACCACTTCTTCCGGTGGCTCATCTGTTATCAGAGACTCAGGGGGCAGCCGAATGGAAGAGCTTCAAGCACTAAGAATAGTGGTGGTAACTTTTTTTCCTGAGACTGAAAGTTAACTTAGCAATAACACACTTCTGTCTCTTCCCACAGTAGGGGTCTCCCCACCTGTCATGACTGTAAAACTCCCAAGAGGCATGTGGCCTCCAAGGATCTGGGGAGGTTGCAACTGACCCAGGCCCGTGATGAATTCAGTACCCACCATGTGGCTTTTCCATAAGACTGTGAGTCAGTCATGGGAATGGGAAGGAGGGGGCACATTTACTACCTCACTGTTTTGTTCATTACAGATGTTACTTCATGCTAAAGTCGACATTGACATCTGAATTTGAGGCCAGGCGCAATGGCTCATACCTGTAATCCCAGCTCTTTGGAAGACCAAAACTGATGGATTGCTTGAGCCCAGGCGTGGTGGTGTATGCCTGTAGTCACAGCTACTTGGGAAGCTTAGGCAGAAGGATTGCCTGAGCCCAGGAGGTCAAGGCTGTGGTGAGCCGTGATTGTGCCACTGCACTCTAGCTTAGACGATAGAGTGAGACCTTGACACAAATAATTAATGAATTAATTAAAATTTTAAAAATTTGAATTTGCAGTTATGTAGGATAACAGTTTATCAGCAGTCATATTTTTCCTAAAGAAAACTAAAAATTAAGACTCATGATTTTTCTCAAAGACAACTCTAAAGTTTCATAAAGTATTATTTTATTAATTTTAACATATCTTTCCTTCAAGTAACTACTCCCTATTTTTGAATGGATTTCAAAGACATCAGAAGTGATTTTTGAAGAAAGTACTAAATGTTGATAGATTTAGCATATGGATTACATCATTTAGGATATATGATAGAACCTCTCACTATGATTCAATGATTGCTCTTGTGAAATCATAGAAAAAGTATCATGAGACTTTAAAAGTTCTTCCAACAAGTGAACTAATACATTTACTGGCTTCCTTTAATGGAATATTCTCACAGAATGGTGAAAAACTAAAGCTATTTTATATTCTTTCTTATGGATACTTTTACTAACTCTATGTTCTAATTTACAAATTTGTGTATCAGTATTTATATGTTATATAGGTATCTGGTTTTAATGCATTTGTAAATTATAAAATTATTAGCAAGAGCCATTCATAGAAAAGATACATTTTTAATAAATAATAAACTTTTAATAAAGTTTTAAAAACTAATACCAAAGATAAAGGTGCTCAATTAATCAATACTTTGATTCATGAGATATAGACAAAGTATATTTCAATACTTACATACGTGTTTTAACTGTAAGTAGCAGCATGACCTTTATTTGATCTAGTAACATTCTTTTAGCAATTATAATATGTTTATTTTAGAATTGGAAAGAAATTATCAGGCCTTTAATGTTAGGTTTGTAAATTGTTTTCAAGGAAGTTAACCAGGAAATATTTAATGTTTACAAGATAGTGGTAGATGTGGCTTCTGCAGAAATTTTTTTAAGATTATGAATAGACCATGCACAGTGCCTCACGCCTGCGATCTCAGCATTTTAGGAGGCCAAAGAGGAAAGATCACTTGAGCTCAGGAGTTCGAAGTTGCAGTGAGTCATGGTCACACCACTGCACTCAAGCCTGGGTATCAGAGAGAGATCCTGTCTCAAAACAAAAAAACAACAACAAAAAAGATTACAAATAGATTTTCACTTGGTTGAAGTTACTTGGAACAGTCAGAAGACAAACGCATGGATCAGGATGCCTTTGAAGAAGGCTTTCTCTTGACTTCTTGTTACTAGCTGCCATATCTTGCCAATGTGAATGCTCTTTAGGAAAGTAAGGTAAAAGTTAAAATTGAGCCTATGGTGTCACCTCTGGTCTAGTCTCTGGTCCTTTGCAGTCACCTACAGCTTAATGTTTGGAAAATGTAAAACTACAGTAGTTTTCATCTTATACCCTTCTAGGCCTCAGTGTCTTGACCCTGGCAACCCCGTTGTGGATTTTATGTCCTTTCTTTCCTCTGATGGTATCCACCTGCTAAGGCAGGCTTTGAGTTAGACATCCTCACAGTTGTTCTTGGGAGTGGGTGGTTAAAAATCACGCATCCCTCAAACTGGTCTCCATCATTTTGAGTTGGTTTCCACTGCTGTTTTCAATTCCCATTTATTGCTTCCCATCCCAGACAGGCAGATTGGATTCTGCTTCCCAGTTCCATCCCAGTCTTGGCAATACAGAGTAATCTGGATTCCTCTTGATAGGTCTTAGACACACTGTAATGAGCTTACTTGGGGGAGTCTCCTGTGTCCCACATGTAAGCAGTTCTCTGACCCCTCCTCAGCAAGGTGCTGTGCCCTGAGCCTCACCCACTGTCACTTCAGGACTTTGGGACTGGATGCCCAGCCTTGTCCTAGAGGTGACAGAACAGCCTGTTACTCTGTCCCTCTCCCTCACAACACCCAAACCCCATGTTGTCTAATCACCCCCAAAACTGATGCCAGTGATGCCTGGTAGAGTCTTTCCCAGTCTCTTGACAGATGCACTGTTTTTAGCAACTTTTCTGTGTTTCTGGTTTTCTGTACCCCTTTTTAAACATGCTAAGAATAGAATGTGCTTCTTTGTTTATAAATAACAACTCTTTGGAATAATCCTTGAACGTCACATTTAACTTCATGCATAGGGTGCTTAAGAGTCTTTTATAAGAGGAACAGATTTTCTGAAAACCTATAATACCCTCACGGAGAAGAAGCAGTAAAAAAAAAGAAAAGCAAAAATACTTCTGGTTAAAGAATCATCTCTGATTCTGTTCTTTTTTTTTTTTTTTTTGAGTTGGAGTCTCACTCTGTCACCCAGGCTGGAGTGCAGTGGCACACTCATGACCACCCCAGCATCAACCTCTTGGTTGATTCTGTGATCCTTCCACCTCAGTTCCAAGTAGCTGGAACTACAGGCACACTCTACCACATCCAGCTAATTTTTGATTTATTGTAGAGATGAGGTCTCGCCAAGTTGCCTGGGCCGGTCTCAAACTTGCAGGCTCAGGCAATCCACTTGCCTCGGATTCCCAAAGTGCTGGGATTACAGGCTGAGCCACCGAACCCAGTCTGCTTCTGTTCTAAAATAGTATAGAGGTTTGTCAATTTGGGTTATTCACTTCATCATCAGCAATTAATTAAACTTTAAGGGTGTTGTACCAGGCCCTGTGCCTGGTGCTGGAGATGCTAAGATTAGAATAACAGAGTTTATGCTCTTAAGGGGCTTCCAGTCCAGTGTACTTTGGTAAAGTAAAGCTTCCATTATTCAGAGTATCCAAGGATCGGAATGTTCTGGTTCTCCATACTGGCCTGTTGACTTTGTCCTTCCAGTACCCTTCACAGGAGGTGCTTGGTAAATATCACCTTCTTTCCATGGCATGTTAATGCAGAATGGGAGGCCATGGACTTTGTTTTGTTAATTTCTTTCATCTTCTCTCCATTCAGTTTATTTCAGTCCAACGGAGCAGAGCTCTTGATCCTGATAGACATTCAGGTGTATATGTTTTCTTTTGGAGTTTGAGATATCTTAAGAAATATAATCACGTTTTTATTTTTCCCTATCTGGTCAGTGCAGAGTGTACACAAAGCCAACTGGTAAACATTGTATTTCCTGTCATTGCAATAATGATTTCTTGTTCCAGTTGCTCTTGTTTATAAATGTTCAACAGAGAATCAGGACTCTTTTATTTATTGGGATACAAATAATAATGCTATTGAATGTTTACATTCAATGTTTTAAGTGACCTGGTCCTTGTACTTTTTGGATCTGAATAAATTCACTGGAAGGCCTAGCATCAGTTAAACTTGAAGATCAAGAAAGGATTTTAGAGAGGAACAGATTTAATATTATTTTATAAGACAACAGAAAATTGAGTACTCTGAAATTATTCAACTCATTAAAAAAAACTCTTTCAGAGGATACTTTTTTTGGTAACCATATTAGCCTTCTTTATAAGGTGATGTCTGCATTATAAAACTCTGAACAATTTTTAACTGCCTGCATTTATTAACAGGCAATTCTTTCTTAACCTGTAGAATCCTGGTATTTTCAGAAAATGAAAAAATCTAACCACATAACATTTCTGGGTCTCCAAGTAAGATCTTTGCAACAGAACAAAAAACAAGTAAAGACAGCATGCCTTATAAAGAAAGCATGCTTTTTTTAGAAAGAAAGAAAAAAAGAAAGAAAGAAAGAACGATGAAATTGACATTACACTGGTTACTATTTCTGAATGTCCAAAACAAAAATTGTTATTCTTATGATGAAGCACCTTCTCAATATTTCCATCTCCCTTAATGCCTGGTGTTTCAGATTGGAGATATATCATCTCTGCACGATATATTTTCTAGAATAGCCAAAACGATTTTGTTTTTAAACTAATACCTTAAAATACTCATTTCCTGGGAGCTAATACTAAGAAGAGAAATTTAATTAGTCTCATTTTTAGTGGGGAGGGGAGAGTCTTTTCCAGAGGGGGATGAACTTGTATCTAGAAAAATCATTTTAAGTTCTATTCTTCATACTATCAAAGATAAAATCACAAATCTCAGTTGTTTTTAAGTTCTTAAACCTTATTTGCCTTATTGCTGGCCAAATCAATAAAATTGGGGAACTCTGACTCCTGAGATATCGTTTCCTCTTATGCTGATTTTGATTTAAGACACATGTATGTGTGCTACTTAGAATCATGTAGTTTAAAAAATAGGACAGTTGCCTGAATCACATCATATAGGGCACTTGTGTTTAGATTGGGGCCATTGCTGACTGACCATGGTATTCCTGTGTATTCTCTTTTCTCTGTCTTCATGTTTCCTTGGTCCCACCATTGCTTGGTTTTCCCCAAATGGACCCTGGTTTCAGAACGGCAAGTCTGACTTCCTCCATCCTGTGCATGGAAGAACGGCTTGGCGGTTCCAGCTTTTGGACTGTGAATCTGATGCTCATTGTGTTGTTCTGGCAGAGAGGGAGTCGCGGCCACCTGTCGGGGTGGCATGGTTCCCACACACAACATGACGTGCCAGTTTCAAGCAGTGGAGATGCCAGGCGTAGAGTGGTGAAGAGGGGTAGCTCATACAATGTGGTGCTTTTTCTGAAAGGAGATCTTCCCACTGGCGAGGAGTGCCAAATTCGAGGCACATGCTTCATTACATTGATCACATCTGCTGGCACTTGTGGGTGTTAGCACTGACAAGTATCTTTCTGTTATTGCTTTTTTTTTTTTCCTGTGCTCCCTTTCCTCTATCAGCTTTGCCTCCATTTACCTAAGTGGGTGAATTATCTTAGTTAGTAGAGACATAGACTGAGACAAGAAAAACATTGTCTAGGCAAATCGCTAATAGGTTCTGGATCATAAACTGTTGGTGTTTGCTAATGCTGCATAATTATCTTAGAGCAAGTTGTCGTCTTAAGAGATGAGAGATGTAGCATGATGTCAGAATGGTTTTTTTCCATCCTCTCCTGGGTCATTGGTGCTTAAAATGTAGCCATCTGGATGAAGATGAGGTGGAGAATGCTGGGTAAAAGTGATGTCCTGAGATTCTTACAGAGAACCTTGGACAAGTTAGAACTCCCTATCCTGGGAAACTTTTTTTCTGAATAAAGTTATTAATAGATTCAACTGCACTGGAGGCGACATCTGCCTCTCAGGATTTATTTTTACTCTTTTCAACAGTTATCTCTAAATTTAAGATGAAAATAATACATTTTGCCTAGGCTTTTTTTTTAGTATTTCTTATGTAATTTTAAAATATTTATTTATTTAAAAAGTGTCTCTTACATGATGGAGAGTCTTCCAGTGTGAGTTCCTAGATTTAATTAAAAGTGAGAAGACTTGACTTCTGGCCATATTTGTTCACACTGCAAAAAATTATCAACTTTAAAATTATCAACTTTATCACATCTTATAATTGCAAAAGAAATATGATAATATAAGACCTGTGATAGATGTGGAAATAAAACTATTTATGGATTCAACAGAGATTCATTGAGTGCCCACTCTATGCAAGGTAGCCGACAATTATCTGTCTTAGCTGACTTATTAAAATGCTCAAAGTTGGAAGTAAAATAGTGGCTTGCATTTGTTAATATATAAGAGCATAGCCACAAAGACACAAAATCTAAATTCATCTAGATTATGCTATATATTGATCATTATTAGCATTATTCACTGGGACAAATCAAAACTTGAAATCAATCTTAGTTTGGAGAATTATGTGAATAAAACTGTCCTAGAGTAAGTTTTACTACTAGGGGTCCAACAGCCTGGTCTGTCTGAATACTCAGAACTAGTTTCCCAGTGTGTACAAGGCCTTTTTTTGTTTACCCAGAACTGGAAACATTTTGTCAATACTGTGTAGACTGGCCTTAGTTTATCATGCACATAAATACTATGCATTTGTAAAGAGGACCCCTTTCATTTAGATGGAATGGTTTAAAAATATTGGTTAAACTAAGCTCTTCAGTTTGAAATCTGGGAAACCTCAAGTGTGTGTATATGCTTAGTCTTTTAACTCCTGATAAAGTACTGAGCGGCTAATCTGGTAGGTATTAGGGGAGAAAGAATTGGATTTCAATTGGCAAACTCATATATTCTTCGACTTTTCAGACATATTTTCCAAATTTTCAAAGAATACTAGCATAACTATGTACAAATCATTTCATCCGTGAATTGGATCTTTGATCCATTGTCTAGGCATTGCCATACAACAGAAATGCAGTAGGAGCCAGACGTGCCTTTAAATTCTCTAGTGGCCACGTTATAAAAAGAAATAGGTGAGATGAATTTCAATCGTATATTTTATTTATCTCATATCAAAAATACAATGTTGACATGTAATCAATATAAAAATATGAAATAGATCACATCATTTTTTTCACACCAAGTCTTCAGAATCAGGTATTGCATTTAACACATCTGAATTGGGACTAGGTACATTTCAAGTGTTCTTTGGCTATAATGACTGCACTCTTGGGCAGTAGCAGGTCTGGAATGTGATGCTCTGAATATGAGGCTGTCACTGGGTTTATAACTCTGACCATTAAAATTTTGCCTTTGATCTGAAATTGCCACTGTTTTGAGAAGCAATGCTTAATATTTAATAATCACTGAGACTGGAAACCTTTTTCAGCAGAGAAAAATTGCCTCAGCTTTCATATGTTTTTATACTGGGTGTGTTTGAAGCAAAATTGGAAGACTAAGGGAAAATTAAAGAGTAGGACTCTCCCATCAAAATTGCAGTAGAGGATTTGGAAAGTGGAGGAGTTTCAGGTTTGAGAGCTGTGGTGAAATTATGGGGTGAGATTAGGGTGACGGCTGTCAATAAATCCAAAGCCTGTGTTTTCTGTATATTGTTTTTCTGTTTTCAATTGTCTCTAATTTAGTCATTTTAAATTCTAGATAAGATATGTGGAACACGAGCCTATCACTTTCATATCTGTGTAGTAATTTACCTTTGTGTTCACAGAGTGCTTTCAAGAGCCATCCTTTGGGTGTTTTCACTGGAGAAACTGGGTATTTTTTTCCTATCAGAGGCCCATGGCCCATGGGGGAAAAAATCAATCCATGTTACAGTCAAGTAAAAATACAAGTTAATTTAGTTTTTTTTAGACAGAAATATAAAGTGACCAAGAGATCTTTCCCTTGATCATTTTGCTTTTGAAATTAAAAACAGGGAACATTCTGTTGGAAAATTATATTACGTTTAGTTGAGAATTTCCAACGCAAATTCTTGTGGGTGTGAAAAAGCCTAACAAAAAAAGAATCAAATTCAGGTATTAGGTTGGCAGGGTGGGGTGGGGAGTAGGGAGTCCATTTGGTTTCTAGTGAATCATTGAAGGGAATGCTTAGTTGACATGAAAACAATGGACTGAGGCCTGGCCACAGCCCTATCTTTTCATGTTGGGCTAGGAGTGGCTTTGAGCTGGGACAGGGTGGACTGGAGGTATCTTTTACCCGTTTATCTGTAGATGAGACCCCATTGTAGTTAATGGGATCATTTATAATTAAAAGTTTCTGTTTATATATAAACTGTTCATAGAAGATCCTGAAGGTGGTTTGACCGGGGCTCAGGAAAATGTGTCATGGTAGGAGGGGCTATATGAACTATACCCCAAGACTGAGTGGTCAAGGCCATCCTCTCTCTCTTTCATGGCAGAAGGCCTGGACTTCTCCAACATGTCACATTGTGAGCTGTGATCACCTCGAGTTTTCTAGCGAGACCCTGTGTGCCATTCCTAAAATGTGTGTGACCCTTTCCCCAAATCTTACCCTAAAGGGAATTCATCAATATGTCAGCTTTAGGGCTATCTGAGTCATATTTTTTTGCAAAGCTTTGGTGCTTACCAATACTTGTGTGCTAATGAGTGTTAGCAAATGCCCAAGTGAAACAATAAGTTCCAAATAAAATGCAAATGCCCAAATTGGAATTATGCTTAATTTGCCAGGGTTTTGTTGTCATTGTGGCTCATAATTATGACCGGTTGGTCTTGCCATACAGAGTCATTAATTTCTGCAAATAAAGAGATCCTTTGTTTGTTGGCTCTAACTATACCAATGTGTTGGGGTTTTCAGTAGAGAGAACTTGACTTCCAGGCTCATGTGGCCTGACCAACTTGGAGTGACACTGCCCTAGGCCAGAGCTAAGACCACCTGAAGCTCAGGGAGGCATGTTTGGGCTCAGCGTAAGGAAGAATATCCTAACAATGCCAAGTTTAAAGACGAATGAACTGTGTTTTGAAAAGTTAATCCCCATTGCTGAAGTTGCTCAAGTCAAGGCCAGGTGGCCCCCTGCTGGCAGCATCTTGGAAGGGATTCCAGCATTTCTATCACTGCAGGGGAGGTGAAATGCACAAGCTCTAAGAAGCACTATTCATACCTTGTGGTTGCAGGATTGTCAGGCACTCAAAGCTTATTGCACCCATTTTGGTAGATGGTAAAGAGATGCTTTACTCACCGAATATGCCTGCAGCCTTTCCAGAGTAGGTCTTAAAATGTTTAGTCGCTCCTACAAGCCAGGCATGGTGGCAGCAATTCAGCTGGGAGCAAGCTTCCTATGGGAGGTGATGCTCTTATCTTGAGAGAGCATCAGAATCCCCTGGAACGCTTGCTCAGGGCCAGTGGATGGTTACCATCCTCAGTTTCTGAGTCAGCAGATCTGGGTGGGGCCTGAATCTGTTTCTAATAAGATCCAAGTGCAATAGCCATGATTTAGGGCAGTGGTTCTCAACTGGGAGCAGGGAAATTTCCTACTCTCTGCCCCAACCCATGGACACTGGCAATGTCTGTGATATATTTGGTTTTCACAGCTGAGGGCAGGGGTGGGGGGTTGCTACTGGCATCTGATAGGTAGAAGCTAGAGGTGATACCAAGTATCCTGTGATACGCAGTGTAGCCCCAACACAGGAGTAACCAGCCCAAATGGGAGTAGTATTGAGGTAGAGAGATCCGTTCTCTCGGGAAATGACAGAAAATCAAGTGTTTGTGATCGACTGTGTGAAGAACATCAGGATAGATTGTGATAAGGGCAATTTAGACTGCTACCGCTGGGCCTGGCTTACTCTAGGCAGTCAGTTGGGTTCACTGAGAGGTGAATGAGGCAGCCAGGTGAGCACGTGGTAGGAACATTCACCGTTCTAACTGTGAAAGAAAACAAGTAAACTGAGAAAGGAGACTGCCTGGAATTTCATGGCGTAAGTGATGTTTGACAGTTTTATTGATTGAGCAAGGTTTTGCCAGGGGCATTCTAGCCTAAGGGAATGGAGTAATAAGCAAAGCCAAGGGAGAAGTGTTGACTTGGCCATGGTGGTCGGCCTGGAACGGGATATACATTGGGAGAAACTGGAGAGGTGTCAGGTGGTGGCCACTGTAGTAAGGCCTTTAAAGCCACTGTCAGAAGAGTAAAGACAGAAGGAAGGATTTGAAAGGGTTTAAAACAAGAATGCTCATTGTCTTTGATAAAACAGAAAAATCCCAGTTAATGAGATTTTACTGTTTACCAGTTGGCCTTGTGAGAAGCCTTAAAGTGCCTCAGCAATAACAGCCAATAAACTTTGTGTATAATATTATTCTGGGCTGTGTGCGGTGGCTCATGCCTATAATCCCAGCACTTTGGGACGCTGAGGTGAGAGGATTGCCTGAGCCCACCAGTTCGAGACCAGCCTAGGCAACTTGGCAAGACCTCATCTCTACAATAAATCAAAGAATTAGCTGGGCATGGTGGCGAGTGCCTGTAGTTCCATTTACTTGGAAGGAGCTGAAACACCAACTCAAAAAAAAAAAAAAAATTTATTCTGCTTCTTTGTACTTAAAATCTGGAAACTTAGGCATCCTCCTCGGGTCCCCTCCCACTGTGGGAGCTTTTCTGTCCTCTCAATAATCCTGCTTTCTAAAATAATAATAATAATAAATCTGGAAACTTGCCAGGTGTGGTGGCTCACGCCTGTAATCCTAGCACTTTGGGAAGTCAATGGGAGAATTACTTGGGCCCAGGAGTTTGAGACCAGCTTGGACAACATAATGAGACCTTGTCTCTACAGAAAAAAGAAAAAAATTAGACAAGTGTGGTGGTGCATGCCTATTGCCCCAGCTACTTGAGAGGCTTAGGTGGAAGGATTGCCCAAACCCGAGAAACTGAAGCTGTGGTGAGCTGAGATCGTGCTACTGTACTCCAGCCTTATTTTTATTTTTAGACATAAAAACACAAAATCTGGCAACTTGATGTACAGAGATTCCTCCCAAAAAGCTGACAGAAAATGTTCACCGGGCTGTACTTTTTGCTTCAGTTCCTAATCTCTCCTGTTGTGGAAGTCTGTGTAGGAACAAGAAGTTGTTCCCAGCCATCCCAGGCATAGCTGCTCGTGCTGGAGATGCAGGTGCCTGGCATGTGGGGAGTGAGTCTGGCTCAGGGTGTGTTGGGAGTCCCCAAGACTCAGCTGGGAAGAGGTCTCTGTTGCCTTGACAGGAGTCTCAACTCAAATGTAGAACATTCAAGGTTAAGAGCGCCCCCTCCTTGCTTCCACAGCACAGTTACTAAAATTGGATCCATAAAAAGATTAGCATGGTCCCTTCCCAGGGATGACGCGCACATTTGTGAAGCGCTCCTTATTTTTGGAAAGTTCTGCAGGGCCTATACTCCTTAAATATGGGACATCTCAGAAACTGGTAGAATCTGAGTGACCAGCCGCTCTTGTGAAGATGATGTTCTCTGAAGATTAAGATTTGGTGATGGCAGTTGTGTCATGATTTTCTGATTTGTTCTAGATTTACTTATTTATTTGTTTGTTTGTTTTTGAAGTCAAAAGTCTCTCTCTGTCTGGAGTGCAATGGCACACTCACAGCCACCACAGCGTCTACCTGCTGGGCTTCGCCGATCCTTCTATCTCAGCCTTCCAAGTAGCTGGAACCAGTGGCATGCGCCACCACACCCGGCTACTTTTTTTCATTTATTGTAAAAGTGAGGTCTCACCATATCGCCCAGACTGGTTTCAAACCCCTGGGCTCAGGCAATCCTCCACCTCCCAAAGTGCTGGGATTACAGGCATGAACCGCCTTGCCTGGCCTCTAGTGTTGTTTAAAAATCTATATCCTTGCTTTGAATTCATGTTAGCAATAATTGATGATGTTAAAAAAATTGGTATATGTCTAAACAATAGAGAGTGCTATTAAAATGCTCACAAACCTTTGGAAAAAATAAAAATAAAGAGCACCTCCCACTGCCAGGCCAGACCCCACTGACTGCTAGCAGGGCAGAAAGTCCTTCCCTCCTGGGACATTACTGATTCCTTCTTAGGTTTTCAAGAGGCTTTTTATATCCTTTCATCCAGGGTCTTCATGACACACCCTAACACTCGATGGTTGGTTTCCTGAGCAACTAGTTTAATAAGAACCAAGTTGTATCTTTGATACTATATCACGTCTGACACGTTTTATGACAAGATAACTGATCAGCTACTCCCTTGACCACTGCAACAAACCCCCATTGGAAATTCTATCTCCTTCCAAGCCAATTTGTGTGCAACAGACATTTATTGAATGTTTTATCTGGTTCCAGCACTATACCATGTGTTTTTTTAATTTTTAGTTTTTTAAAAACTAAATATTGAAAGGCGTGTAATTGATGGCCGCGAACTCCACGCTGGGATGAGCTGCACTCCCGGGGGAGGCAGGGGAGCCGAGCCTGAGCCATGGCCAGTACAGTGGTAGCAGTTGGATTCACTATTGCTGCTGCAGGATTTGCAGGTCGTTATGTTCTGCAAGCCATGAAACATATGGAACCTCAAGTAAAACAAGTTTTTGCAAGTCTACCAAAACCTGCCTTCAGTGGTGGCTATTACAGAGGTGGGTTTGAACCCAAAATGACAAAACGGGAAGCAGCATTAGTACTAGGTGTAAGCCCTACTGCCAATAAAGGAAAAATAAGAGATGCTCATCGACGTATTATGCTCCTAAATCATCCGGACAAAGGAGGATCTCCTTATATAGCAGCCAAAATCAATGAAGCTAAAGATTTACTAGAAGGTCAAGCTAAAAAATGAAGTAAATGTTTCATGAATTTTGAGTTCATATTAGTTTGTGTATACAAGCACCAATTTTTTATAATAAAATGCCCAGTTACAATTTTAAAAAATGATTTAGCACAAGCTAAATCAAAAGCCTCGGTATAATTTTCTTGTTTAAATTTGAGGATCTTAAATCAGACTGTAGACTAGTTTAGAATAGTTGGATGGTAATTCTTAATCATGGACAAATGCACATCACTTGAATAGAAATATTGTTCATTGTTCATTTAGCTAATAATTTGGCACCTATTTCTGCTTTAAAGTGAAGGTGATATCCTTGCTCTCCCAATCTAATAGAAGACTGATAAACTGATCATTAAACTGTGTGATAAATAATATGATGGAATTAGCTTAAGCTGTTGAAGTAATGACTCTTATGAGGAAAAGCTGTTTAAGGTACAAACAACTGGCCCAGCTACTTGGAACCTTGTATTTAAAAGTGAATTTAGCCACAACTTTGACCTAAGAAATTGACTTGGGTATATGTAGAGTATCAGACAGAATTTAGATATCATACATTAAAAACTGTAAAAATATTGAAAAAAAAACTAAATATTAAACACACAGTTAAGAAAATGTTTTGTTTATTTATTTATTTATTTGAAAGATGTGGGGTAAGGTTGGTTAATAAAATTTTAAAGGTACTAAAGGTTTAAAAATGAAAAGTAAGACTTCCTCCCTCATGTACCCCCATTTTTCCTCTTAGAACTTCTGAGAAACTGCTATCGTCAATTTCTTTTACATTTTTCAGAGATATGTTTTGTGTTTACAAACATATTTATGTAATTTTTACCACAAATGGCCAGGTATTCCTATATCATATTTTCCTCCCAAATATATCCAGAGGCAGATAACATGGCTTGCATTTTATAGATGAGGTCATTGAGACCATGAGTGTAAGTAACTTGCTCGGTGTCACATCGTGAGTGCCAGAGGTAGAATTCACACCAGGAGTTCTGGTTTTAAGTGGATCTGAAGCAGGTTCACTTTTGCCCCACTTTAAATCAATGTCTTTTTAAATGTGTGTTCATTCATTTAGATGAGGGGTGAGGGCTTCACAAAGGAACGGCAGATATAATTACTTATGTGGCCTTCCCTCTCCTCCCCGGTGGTTCAGCTCTGGCCCCCTAATTGCATACACCACTGACCAAGACAGTGTGTATACCCAGACCCTGTTCTTCAGAAAGCTGCTAAGGACATGGTTCCTTAAGCTCCTGCCCACCCGAGCTTCTTCCATGTTCACATGTCTGGTGATGTTTCGGCTTGCTGTTAGTGCTCGAGCCCCCATGCAGATTCACAGCCCAGCCTGGCCTGTGCCTTTACCTGTCCCAGGTGCTAGGTGGGTGCCAGTTCTCTGTCAGGAGCCATTCATCCTTTGGTAGAGGCTGGAGCAGAGCAGAGCTATCCTCAGCCACCTGGGTTCTGAGAGCACCGACTCCTATCCTGGGAGTTGTAGATTCTCAGAGCTGCTCAGGCATTCCCTGCCTCGCATCATGACAGCAGCAGCTACCCTTGGGGTCCTCTTGAAACCAGATGGATTGTTTGCAGTCTCAGCGGGAGTTCTCAACACTACTTGTCAGAATGATCTAGTAGGTGATTGACAGATTGGGAAGAAGGTACTTGCCCCATGGGGACTCTAGTGTGAGGCATCTTTGTGGCCGGGGCTTCATGACAATGCCTTCCTAAAGCTCTGGGATCCTGCTTGGGAGAGCCTTGAGAGAGGACATATGCACCATTTAGAGGGTGTTGTCGGGCCAGAAATGCACAGTCGCTTACAGCGTGGTGCTGTCTGAAGACCACCTGTGGTTATTTAAGGTGCAGGCTTGAAATTTTACTTCCTGTTGGTAATAAGACTGAGCTGCATTGTGTGACTTTGCATTTGTTTATTTCTCTTAATTGGTAGGTAACAAGGAGGGTTCGCCTTCTTCTACCTTCTGGGTGCTGCTGAGTATTCTCCTGGGAGCAGTGGCAATGCTGTGCAAGGAACAAGGGATCACTGTGCTGGTGAGAGCCAGGGCGTGGCCTGGGCCTGCCTTTTGTATGCACCCTTTCCCCTCCTGTACAGATATCTGGGGCTGGCCCTGCCTTTGCCACCTCCTACTTCTGAAAACCATTGGCAGCCTGAGGGTCATAGAGCTTTCTGGACAAATGACATTTGCTCTCACAATTTTGGTATTTCAGGTCAAATTGACTATCTTCCTGGGCGACCATTCGCAACTGGGAAGAAATGGCAAATGAGAAGCTCTCACGGAGCTATGATGGGACCTCTTGATAGGCCCTGTGGAAAAAGAGAAAAGAGTGCTTTGAGTTTTTGAGGATGCTCTGACATCTTTTCACAATCTTAGGTGGAACTGACCTCAATGGTTTTATCCTGGATTTGGAAAGGGCAGTGGGTAGTCTGGAAGTGAAGGAGTGGTGGCTCTGTCCCCACTTGGAACCACCCATGCACACACATCCTCTTTCTCCTCGCCATTCCCCCACCCCCAAAACTAACCTATAAGTATTGTTAATCATCACCCAAGTAAGACATCAACCAGCACAAGAGCCAAAGTATTCCATGGTCACAAATGTTTGACATGAAATTAAAAGATTCCTAGTGTAATCTTTAAAGAAGAGCATGTAACAATGCTAATGTTTCAAGTGAGATTTTGTCCTCAAAGTGCTCCCTTTAAGCCAGATGTGACTTCTATTCACTTATTCTAACTTTGAGCCTTGAAGTCTCTTTACACATAATATAGTGTAGGCATCTTATTATCTTGGTTGTCTTTAAATGTGTTTTAGAGTACATTTTGCTTAGGATATGTAGTTAAAACCCAGACAGAAGAAAAATTTATTTTGTGTTTCAAAACTATTTCAATCTTTAAAACCAAGCCGCCCAACAATTTTTTTTATTTTAGCTATGATTTTATGGAGGTATAATTTGTGTACAAGAAGATGTGCCACGTGTAAAGGAAGAGTTTGAATTTGGACAAAAGTCTACCCCTGTGTAACCACCACTCTAATCTAGACCTTGTAGGAGAGGCAGCATTTTACCTCTGCCTTCTTAGAAGTTTTTTGGCTAGGCTTGAGAATTAGACTGACACAAGACATACCAACAGAAGAAAAGCATTCAGATTTATCTCATGGAAGTTTAACATGACACAGGTACCCTCATGAGGAAATGAAGACCCAAAGAAATGGCAAAACCTAAATGCTTCCATCTTAGGTTGAAGAAAGAGGAGTAATTGTAGAAAAATAAACTCTGGAAACAAAAGATAAGAATTACTCTGCCGAGGTCTGTACAGAATTCTCTCAGTCTCATCCTCCCTGCTGTGGTGACATTTCCACTCTACAGTAATCTACTTCATTGGTTCTTTTGTGACTACTGTCCTGTGTAGATGCAAGCCCCCTGAAGGCAGGGACTACAAGACAGTTGGTCGTTTTGGACTTCCCAGGGTGAACCCATGTTTATATAGTAAATTCTCAGTAAGTTGTCACTGAATAGGAATCAGTCTGTGAAAGAACACAGTCGTTAAATGTTTTGTGGCCACCTAGCACGGACCCCAGTGAGTTAGACAAGTGTTGAGTGTCATAGGTCCCTGGAACAGAACCTCCATCAGGCTTCCTCTGGCAATGTCAAAGAGGGGAGGAGCTCTAAACAGGGCCCAGGATTGAAACTGTTTAGAGAGGTGTTGAAATCGTCTCTCCTCTTTCTCCATTTTAGCCAGCTTTCTCCTTTACAGTATAAGAAGAAAACTCAGAAATTAGGGTTGTGTGCCAAGGTAGAGAAATGAAAAGCAAAAACATGAGATGCAAATAACCACATGGGAATAGCCTGGGGAAGACAGAGCAGTCAGAGCTATCTGGGGGTTGACATAGATCAAGGCAAAGATGAGTGAGTTTATTGGGCTCTGTCCCTTAAGAGGAAGCTAGTGTGGAAATGGTATAGAAAGAATGACTGTGGAAAGATACCTGGCTTTCATGAGTTGCTTTTTAAAAGTTGGCTCCAAGCCAATGTTTCTCAACCTTGGCACTATTAACATTTTAGGCCAGACAATTCTTTCTTGTGGGGACTGTTCTGTGCATCGTACGATGTTTAGCACCTTCCCTGGCCTCTACCTAGATGGCAGTAGGCCCCCTCCGTTGCAACAACCTAAAACATCTTTAGACATTGCCAAACATCCCTGGGGGGTGGGGAGAGGAAACATCCTGTTGAGATCCGCTGGTTTTAGAACCTTTCCCTCAAATAAAGTGTTGTCTAAGGACCAGAGGCACCAACTTGTTAGAAATTCAGGATCTCACCTGCTGAGTCAGAATCTCCATCAACAAGGTCCTCAGGTAACTCCTATGCAGTGTTTTTAGAAGCATGAAAGAATTTGGTTGAATTTACATGAATAAAGATACCGTGAAATGTAGTTACTTTTAAAGATTAGCCTAATATTTGGACATTTTGATGATGCATTTAAGTGGGACAGGGGAGGGAGTGCTGGTGTTGTGTCTGACTCGACATGACTCTGTCACCCCGATGACTGTCCTATAACTCACAGGAAAACAAATAGTATGAGAAGATAGCTGCAGCTAAACAGAGAGCTTCTGCCTTCTAGAAAATGGTTTTCAACCAAGCAGAAATGGTCTTCCGTGACCCCCTAAGATCATGCATCCACATGGGTGAATAAAATGAGGATTCTTTGAAATGATTAACCCAGCACTGGCCCGTATATTGGGTAATTAGCATTTATGGGAGAGGGTTAAGAAGGGATGTCATCCTTGCTCTGAAAACCACAAATTACAAGTGACTTCTGATGATGTATGAGCTTCTTTGTCTCAAAGAAGATTACATTAAAAAGACCCAAGTCATTTAGGGGCAACTTTAACCATATCTACCGAGTATATTCAGACAACTTTATCCAGACTGGACAGGGAGATTTGCTAGATGACACAGCCAGCAGCAGCAACCTTTGTAGAAAGTCTGTTGCAGGGGAGGGAAGAGATCCAGGGCTTTTCTCTCCTTCAACTTGTGACTATAGGTTTAATAGGTACAAAAGCAGCCCTTACCTGCGAGAAAGCAACTATCATGGTGCTACTGGAAACTGTTAGTGTAGACAAAGCTGCTCAATGAAGTTATATGTGGTTCACCTAACGGTTGGTCGTGGGCAGGGCTTCAGATTGACAGAGGTGGCTGTTCTTCACATAGCGGGCTCAGGCTGGGAGTGCCCATGCCATTGAGAGCGTGTAGTTTACACAGTCACCCTGGGCATCTCCATCCCAGCCAACTGGAAAGAGAAGCCAAGTGGTGGAGTGCATCCAGGTTTTACAACCAATCCTCCAGAATGGCACATGTCACTTCTCCCCATTCCGTGTTCGCTAGAACTCAGCCCCTTGACCTTCCCCAGTGACAGGGGAGGCTGGGAGATGTAGTCTCGCTATGTGCCTGGTAAGAAGAGAAAGCTCTTGGACAACTAGGACTCTACCCAGGAGGTCTCCAAGGCTCCATCAGAGATCATCATGCATGTTTACATCTGCTTTTACTAAACATGCTGAGATCAGTCAGCACATGAGGTTTGTAGCGCTGACACTGTCTTTATCTTTCAGCATAATTACCGCCCAGGCAACCACTCTGTTACATGAACTAAAGGACTATTTTATAGTTATAAAAAAGGGGCTAGGGGAGGAACCTCTGGGGCACTTTTCCTGGGAGCCCCAAATTTCTAGCTGTCCTGAATCTCAATAGCACTCTTATATATGCAGACTATGAAATCATTTCTATCAAGGACTTACTAGATAATAAATGTGACATTACATATTACCCTGAGCTAATTTCACAGAAACATAGGGTTTTTTTTAAAGAACTGAAAAGGTCTTATCTGATTATCCAATCCATTGCATTTCTTGCCTAGATTCAGTACTAAAATTATGAAATTTGATTGTTATCTAATCAGAGTTAGGTTCTTCTATCACTGATTGTCTTGCTTTGTTTCCTTAGGGTTTGAATGCGGTATTTGACATCTTGGTGATAGGCAAATTCAATGTTCTGGAAATTGTTCAGAAGGTACTACATAAGGACAAGTCATTAGAGGTGAGTATATACTTTTGTCTCTAGCCCAGACATGGAAAATGTCAAGTACCAGCTGATTTAGAATGCCGTTTTCAAAGTATTCCTTGTGATTTTGAATTCTAAAATAGCCAGCATTTTAAAGGACAGTGTCAAAGTAGTTCAGGCAGAATTGCTGCACATTTGTACCTGGTTTGGCTACATTTTTATCTGAAAATCTGTTCCGGGCCTGATGGCTCAGACTTGTAGACCAAGCCCTTTGGGAGGTTGAGGCAGGGGGATTGCTTGAGGCCAGGAGTTCAAGACCAGCCTGGGCAACATAGTGAGACCCCATCTCTGAAAAAAAGAAATAGTTAGGCAAGGTGATACACACCTTTAGTCCCAGCTACTCAGAAGGCTCAGACAGAAGGATCTCTTGAGCCCAGGAGTTCAAGGCTGCAGTGAGCTGTGAATATGCCACTGCACTCCAGCTTGAGTGACAGTATGAAACCTCGTCTCTAAAAAGAAAAAAGAAAATATGCAACATGGGTGGCCTTGTGATGTCCTTTCAGAACATCAGCATGCTCAGGAATGGGGGCCTTCTCTTCAGGGTGACTCTCCTCACCTTGGGAGGGGCTGGGATGCTCTACACGCGCTGGAAAATCATGGGCACTGGCCCGCCGGCCTTCACTGAGGTGGACAACCCGGCCTCCTTTGCCGACAATGTATTGGTGAGGGTGAGTTCTGAGCCTGCTCCCTTTGCATTGTTTTTCTCTCCCCACCAAATTCTCAGATCTCTCATCTCTCCTTTCCTTACTCCTCACCACACCCACAAAATCCCTCCTAAATGGGACACCAGGGGTATTCTAGAATGAAAGTGGGTTTTTAGTAGGAGACTAAAAGGGTGTATGTGAACTCCTTAAATTTCCTTTCTAAGGAGAAGGAAAGAAGAGTGGTTTCTTCAGCCATTAGGTTTCTTGCTGAAAGTCTTGTTGAAGCCACCCAACCCTGTAACTGGATGAAGGCAAAATGTAACAGGCTTGGTGGTATCTTTAGAAGTCTGACAGTGTCAAGATTCTCTTTGTTCTTGTCGATTTTCCTTTTTTCCTAAAGGCAAGGGTATCAAGCTGCAGATTCTTAGCTGTGCGTTTCATAGAGTTTGAAATGAGAACAACCACAGAACCCTGTTCTTAAGATGTTAGGCACATAGGTAACCCTTTTCTGGGGTCTCAGGCTTCAGGTAGCACCGACTAAATGGGTCACAACTTGGCCTGAAATATAACAAACGTGTTGCCTAGTCTGGTTGGTGGCTTAGCTGTATTTTTGTGTCTTAATATCTGAATACAATTAATAAATTACAGACTATAGTCTCACACCCAGTATACAAATTGGCATCGTTTTATTTTATATGACTGCTTTCTTTGAATACCTCAAAAGTGAAGTTAGGATATATATATGTATATGTTATTCAAGTTCAGTATCAATTGTTTGTTTTCCTTTTGACTGACAGGCCATAAACTATAATTACTACTATTCATTGAATGCCTGGCTGCTGCTGTGTCCCTGGTGGCTGTGTTTTGATTGGTCAATGGGCTGCATCCCCCTCATTAAGTCCGTCAGTGACTGGAGGGTAATTGCACTCGCAGCACTCTGGTTCTGCCTAATTGGCCTAATATGCCAAGCCCTGTACTCTGAGGACGGCCACAAGAGAAGGTAAGAGGCAGCGCTGAATTTTAACATCTACACTGGTTGAGTCAGAAGCATTTCTCAAAACCTAGCGCTGATCATTTTAACAATCTTGTGTAAGTGAAGTCTGAGGACATTTGTTTCAAATGCATATTTATGGCTGGGATGATTTCCATCCATTTGGAATCCAGTGCTGGCTTCAATGGGTGGGGAGTGAACTTGGAAGAGGGGCTACGGATGACTGCTATATCTCCTCCTCCCCCTTTCCCCGAGAAGTAGCATTTTGAGATCCTTTTCACTGTAGGTGGTAAAGAGTAATTTATGGTCAGAACAGAGAGTGTAATTGATGTGTGTTGTGCCCATTATTGCACAATTCTTGTTCACAAAACCCTAGTGAATGCTGTCATGATTCTGTCTGTTGTTGCTGTGTACAAAATAAGCCGCTTCCCCAAAGAGACTATTCTTTTTCCATGAAAAAAAAAAATTATTGCGAAAATAATTGGGAAAAACAAATGTGTTTCATGAAAAAGAAAACTGTTTAAGATGATTTCCTGTAAGCATAAGTGTTTATGGAATTAGATTGGTAATTTCTCAAAATAAATTAAATTGCAAGTTTACCTGTGTGTGTCTTAAATTGGTTGGTAATTCTGAAGGGCAAACTTTAGTCCCAGTTCACTAATACATGTGAAATAGAATTTTTTCTTTAAATTCTGTAGGCAGAGGGTACAGAAAGGAGCTACCAAATTTGATTTAGCTTCTGAATTAATCCTCTTGCATCATACAAGACATTGGAAATGATTGGATAGTTCTAGAAGTGTCTCGATGCTCAGCTCTCTTTCTGCTTGACTGAAATTTGTGGGGATTTAGCAACCAAAAATGTTATTCACTTTTTTCAGATTTTATAAAGTTTAAACTACTTAAGCATCATTATTCCTGTTGAGTATAGAGGGAAACATTTTTTTTTTCCCCATGAAACCTACATTGAACAAACCAAAACCAAAATCCACTGACCTATCCAACACCTACATGGTTTGAGGCATAGTTAGAAGCAGGTGAATTAAGGAGGCCTCAAAAAATTAATCATTTTAAGTTTATCAGTAGGAATTACACAGCTTTTAAATAGTACCCTTAGGCTTGTAATAAGCACTTGGGTAATATTTGTCTTATCCTCATGCTACCAGCCTAAACCCTCTCTACTGATGTCATATTTTTGCCGATGATGATACTTCTCAATTGGCGGCATGAAAGAAAAAAGGTTCTTATTGTTAATATAATATTGAGTAGGACTTTTTTCTTGAGAAGCCTGAAAACTGCCATGTATTGAAATACTTTTCATCTTCCAGGATCCTGACCCTGGGCCTGGGATTTCTTGTTATCCCATTTCTTCCTGCTAGTAACCTGTTCTTCCGAGTGGGCTTTGTGGTTGCCGAGCGAGTCCTCTACTTGCCTAGTATGGGGTACTGCGTGCTGCTGACCTTCGGATTTAGAGTCCTGAGCAAACACACTAAGAAAAAGGTAACAACCAAGAACAGTGCCACGCGTGAGCAGAACGACTGGATGCATCTCACTAATGATGTTTACCATGTCTCTCTATTCTTAAGAAACTAATTGCTGCTGTCGTCCTGGGGATTTTGTTCATAAATGTGCTGAGATGCGTAGTTCGCAGTGGCCAGTGGCGAAGTGAAGATCAGCTCTTTAGAAGTGCCCTGTCTGTGTGTCCCCTCAACGCTAAGGTACCTTGGCTGCCAGATTTCTTTTTAAAAGACATTACTAGGAAAGGTTTTACGTTCTACAGCTGAACCAGAACATTTATTAGAGTTCAGAGTCTAGCATAAGACCACGGCCAAATACTTGGGGTTTTTCTTTGTCATATGTGTTTTTTATTAGTGATTTTGACAAGATTTATTAAAATTTCACTTAGCCAAAATAATTTAAGTGAATTCGTTAAAAGCAGACAGTATCAGTGAAACAGATTACTCAAATGAGGCCTTACTCATCTTCCAGGTGATCTGATGATCATCCTTCGAAGTGGTGTTGGGGAGATGACATCATGTATCCAGACTGAGGTTGGGCAATTCACAGATTCGAACATTTAAACCACACTTTTCAAACCCTGTTCTCTGGGGATAGCAATAACTAGCCTCTTCCAAGCTATAATTTAAAGGTGACCATAATACCTACAGATGGGCAATAATTTGGTTCAGGAGGTTCAAATTACACAGTGTGCTACACAAGAGTACACATTTACCTCCCTTTTCAGTTCTTGGCTTGTGATTCCTTTTGTCAGATATGATAAACAGAAATGTATAGTCAGTCATATATCATATAGCAATGTTTGGATCATCAGCAGATTGCATACACAACGGTGGTCCCGTAAGATTATAAGGCCACTTTTTTACTGTGTATGTTCTAGGTTTAGATATACAAATACTTACCATTTTGTTACAGTTGCCTTCAGTGTTCAGTACAGTCATATGCTGTTGAGGTTTATTGCCTAGGAGCAATAGGCTAGATCATACAGCCTAGGTGTGTAATCGGTTGTACCATCTAGGCGTAAGTTCACTCTGATATTCTCATAATGATAAAATCACCTAACGACACATTTCTCAGAAAGTATCCCTGTTGTCATTAAGTGATACGTGACTGTACTTTAAAATTGGCAGTGTTTTTTATTGAGGTAGTCTGGCAGGAATTTATTTCACTGTGTTCTTCGTGAATCCAAGCTCTTCGTTGAACTTCTTTATGTTTCTTCGGGTGAAACTAAATTTTTTTGAACTTTCAGTGCCCTTTCGTATAAGAGGGGACTGATACTCACCTGCTGGGTTTGTTGTTAGGGCTGAATGAGCTAAAATGCCTTAATGTAGTGGTTAGCATGTAGTAGGTGCTCAAGAAATGTTACTTTTGTAAGCTCGTTTTAGTTTTGGTTTTTGCATTAAATGACAGGACAGGGGCAACCCTTTCGAGTCCCCTCCCACTGTGAGAACTTTTCTGTCCTCTCAATAAATCCTGCTTAAAAAAAAAAAAATGACAGGACGGGAACGCCGTTTGCTCAAAATGGGAGCCAAGGGGTTAGGTTAGAATAGTACAGATCATTGTCATTAAATAATGATTCATTTTCTCCTAGGACCTCAGAACTGGAATTTCCTACGATGTTTAAATGTAATCCTCCTGGGTGGGGAGGGGGAGCTCTCTGGAGTTCTGTCTCATTTCTATATTCTGTATTTAAGAGAAAGCAATGATTTCAGGCAAAATCATGTAAAAAAAACCTAATGAACAATTGGCATCTTATTGTGACCCTGAAGTCTTAATTTGTATATAAAAGGTGCAGGCTATCTGTCTTTTCCTTGGATTAAAACACTTTATTTATGTTTTACAGCTGAGAGACTTAGATAAAAGAATGAATTACTCTGAGTTTTTAATCTTTAATTTGATTTGCTGACTTATCAGTTTATTTTATGCTACCAAAAATAAATTGCCTATGATTTAATTTCATAAATGTTAATAGATTTGCTTTATTTTTACTTTACTGTTTGAATAGCAGTAATTACCCCTTCTATTTATATAGTTGCTCACCATGAGGAACTCAGATTTCTTTATAGAGGCTCTATAATTAATCTCCATTATCTTCCCACTAAGGTTTTTAGAGAGAGCGGATATTATTTTCTTCATTTTTTCAGATGGAAGAAACTGAGGCATAGTAAGATTGAACTGGCATCATCTAGGTCAGTAATTTAGGTAGCTAGATAGAGACCTGGTATGGTGCTATGCCCAGGTGGGATAAATGTGATGTCTGAGCCCAAAATGTTATTTCCTACATTATAAGCTAGAAAACATAGGTGTATTCACATGGACATGCATACAATTATCAGGCATCTGTGTGTGTGGTTTTCTTTTTTTAATCTAAGGAATACAAGACCTCATCTTTAAAATGGGCCTACTGGTAATAGTTATTTTCCAATAACTTTTTTCAATGATACCATTCATATAAGTAAGATAGAGATTTTATTTTAACCCTCCACTATAAATTTGAGTGTTATAAAATTGTTCTTTCTTTTTCTGAAAAAAAGATAGGTTGATTTTAGGGAAGAGATCTCATTTAAGAAGACACTAGTTTCCTACAACCCTATATATTTTCTTTCATTTCACTTGATATATTCATGGAATATTAAGTAATCAATTGGCAACTGACTCCAGTTTAGGGCCAAATTTATAATCTAAGACTTATCTTTTTTGAGATTTATAGACTAAGACTCATCTTTTTTGAAAGATTGCAATATCAATGTAAGTAGTGCCCGTACCTGGTCAGCATTTAAAATACTCACAGTGCCTTGCATATGCCAGGCACTCAATATTAGTTACTGAATTGAGCCAAATGGAAATTGAGTTCACTGAGCCTACTGTGAATGAGATGCCAAGTATCTAATTATATTTACAATCATTTTTAGTTTTTAAAGCTTAAAAGTATGTTGCACTTAATATCCACTCTGTGATACAGCTCTAAATTTTTTTTAACAGCGAAAAGGATCATATACCACAATTAGGTATTTTCTTAAGGTGTGACCCAGGAAGAGTTATAGGATCTTTATGAGAAGTTTAACATCAAATGTTAATATTTGTTGGGGGGAAAAACTGGTTTAGCACTGGCATTAAAAATACCTTTCACTACTACTCTCTTTTTTTTGCTTTGACATGTTACTGTGTTGCAGTAGTTTTTATCTTTGGCTTCTCCCATGCTAGTTTATTGCCTCAGTGTATGAGTAACAAATGCTAGAAGGAAAGTTGAGGAATAAATGGGCTTTTTAAAATCTTTTACATTCCAGGGAAACAAAAGTCACCCATTTTCTAAACACTATTTTAAATGACACGGTTGTGAGTTTTGGTTTCTCTAGGTGGCTATTTTCTGTTCAAAGAATATCCATCATATAGCCTAAACTTGGCATCTGTTTCCCAGTTCTTAACTATGAACTGCCTCCTAGGGCTCTATCGGATTTTTAGCTAGTTCCATTTAAGTAACTGCAGTCTGAATTTCCAGAGTCCCGTGTCCTCTTCCCTTGATCTTCTGGTCTCTGGCATCCCGAGTGTCTAACAGAACACTGTCTATACTGCAGAGGGCAGCTGAACTCTTTGTCTGGGCTTTTTATTGAGAAAACAGTATTTGCTCAGAACAAAGGGAAACAGCAGGAGCTTGGGGTGGAAGAGGCAGGAGTCCTGTTGAAGTCTGAGTAGAAGCCCTATTTATATTCTGGGGATCACAAGGATATGACTGGCAGGTTGGATTCTCTGGCCTTGGGTTCTTTTGTGTGGGGGATGGAAGGTGAAGTCACACTTCCAGGCTGGGTTGGGACAGGCTCAAATCTTAAGCAAAGAGCACACTTTCTCCACACGTGCTCTGGTGATAGGGTTGACTGAGCCTCCTCCAAGCTATCATTTAAGGAGGAATACCTATGAATGAACAATGATTTGGTTCAGGAAGTTTAAATTATACTGTGTGGTGCACAGTCATCCACATTTACATCACCTGTATCTTTGCTTGTGAGTCCTTTCACCAGAGTAGGTAAACATAAAGGTATATACTTTTAAATTGATAGTTAAAAAAAAAACTCTCTGTTACGTAAGTGCTTAGAGAATGTCACACGGTTCCATATCCCTCCTGGAACATAAGTGTTTTCAATGTGCCATTACTGTATTTTAAGGTTGGTAAGGCAGGAAGATGAGGTTCTGTTTTCAGAGGTAGTTTGGAAACAGTGTCCAGACTCAATGTTTCTTGATTGTGTTTAAGCCACAGCTGTCTTTCAAGATTTTATTAGCCTTCTCAGGCTGTTGTTAAAAAAGAACCACAGACTGGGTGGCTTAAGCCACCGAAGTTTATTTTCTCACAGTTCTGGAGGCTGGAAATGCAAGGTCATGGTGTTGGCAGGATGGATTCCTCCAGAGGTCTCTCTCCTTGACTTGCGGATGACCTCCTTCCCTTTGTGTCTTCACATGGTCTTTCTTCCGTGCGTACACAGTCCTGATATCTCACTGTGTGTCCAAATTTTCCTTTCTTACAAGGACACCCATCAGACTCCCATTGAGGTCCATTTATATGACCTCTTTCTACCATACTTACCTCTTTAATGGCCCTGTCCCCAATGCATTCACATTCTGGGGTGCTGAGAGTTTAACATGAACCTGCCGGGCTCGGTGGCTCAGCCTGTAATCCCGCGCCTTTGGGAGGCTGAGGTGAGTGGATTGCCTGAGTCCACGGGTTCGAGACCCGCCTGGGCAGCAAGACCTCATCTCTACAATAAATCAAAAAATCAGCCGGGCATGGTAGCGTGCGCCTGTAATTCCGGCTACTCGGAAGGCTGAGGTGGAAGGATCGCCGGAGCCCAGTAGGTCGAGGTTGCGGTGGCCAGGAGCGGCCACTGCACTCCAGTCTGGGCAACAGAGTGAGACTCCAACTCAAAAAAAAAAAAAAAGAAAGACAATAACACCTAACAAGAAACATGAGTTTACTTTAAGGAGAAAGGCTGGTGGTACGAATGAGTAAATCTAGGAATTGCCTCCGGCGGTCAGCCCCCCCTACCCCCAGCCCCCAACCCCCCGGGCATCGTAACCCATGGGTGTGATTCACTGAGAAGAAACACAGTCTTCGGAACCTAGGTTCAAATCCAGCATCACAGCCCTAGCAACCACCATGCAGGGCTTCTGTGAGGAGAAGCTATATATACCCCCTGCCAAATGCCACACCCAGCTGATGGCCACCTCTATTGTTAGTAGTCGTCACACTTCATATTCCTGATGGAGTGAATTTCTTTTTTTGTTTTTAGAGACAGGGTCTCTCTCTGTTGCCCCTGCTGGAGTGCAGTGATGTCATCATAGCTCACTGCAGCTTCAAACTCCTGGGTTCAAGCAATCCTCACACCTCAGACTCCCAAGTAGCTGGGACTACAGGCATGCTCCACCACTCCCAACTAATTTTTTTTTAAAAAATTTTTTTTTAAGAGATGGTGGTCTAACTGTGTTCCCCAAGCTAGTCTCAAACTCCTGGACTCAAGTGATCCTCCTGCCTTGGCCTCCTAGAATTATAGGCATAAGCCACTGTACCCGGACAATTGAGTGAATTTCTATAACAGCATCACCCTTGGGTTGCTCCTGGCCTTAAATCGTATGGTCCCAAAAGCAGTTTTGGGTCATCAGTAAATATTTTTGATAATAGCCCTCATAAGCCTGTGCAATCTTGCTTTCCTGAACTGAGTTTTTTGTCGCCGTACCTTTCTTTGTATTTATTCTAAGCCCAGGTATAATTGAGAAAATGTCATATGAGTATGTTGACCTGCCTGGTGCCCTCATTCCAAAATGATATGAGAATTCCCAGTAGGTTTGTTTGTAGGCTTCACCCTCATGACTTCATCACCTCCACAAGTCCCCACCTAACACCATCACATTACAAGTTAGTAATTCAGCACTTGAATTTTGGGGAGACATGAGCATTCTACCCATAGCAGGTATAAAGTAAAATACTTGGGATGCTACAGAAAAAGGATATCATACAAAAAAGCGCTGCATTTGTTTAAATGGGAGGACAGAGTCATGGTTTCTTCAATGCATGCCCATGTGTGATTGGACTTTGTTATCTCAACTCTAATGGGGTGGATAGGTAAGGGGAATTTGAGGCTTTGGTAATAAAAAAACAAGCCAGGCATACTGGGATGCAACTGTAGCCCTGGCTACTTGGGAAGCTGAAGGTGAAGGCCAGAAGTTTGTGGCTGCAGTGAGCTAAGATTGTGCCTGTGAATAGTCACTGCATTCCAGCCTGGGCAACATAGCAAGACTTCATCTCTAAAAAAAATTAAAGCAAAATTAAAAGAATACTGTCCAGCTTTGTAGTTTTCTGTTTTTCTCTGATGAGGTCTTTAGTTATTTCCCTTCTGTCATGCTTTAGTGCAGTGCTGGCACTTCCCTTTCTTCTAATCTTTTCTTTCAGGGTCGGGGATTAAAGCCCAAGCAGCCCCCAATCTCTGTAGGGTTTTAGCTAAAGTTCTGGTGGATGATTTTTTTTTTAATCCCTTTATCTTTTGTCTTCAGTTAGTAGATGTGATAGGAGTCCAGGCTCTGAACAAAGAATTCTATCTGCTGATGACCAAATTGTTATCTTTGTTTTCAGGTTCACTACAACATTGGCAAAAACCTTGCTGATAAAGGCAATCAAACAGCTGCCATCAGATATTACCGGGAGGCTGTAAGGTACTGCAAGCATGTCTCACAGAAGAAATATCATTGATATGCATGTATGGCGATCACTTTCTAGGATTAAAAACCTGTCCCCTTAAAGACCCCAGCTCTCAGATATTTTTGCCAGTTGCTGAGAGCTTAGTGATAATGCCTGAGTGTTACCATTCGGCTTGGTTTCTCTCTCAACTTCCAGGCTAAATCCCAAGTATGTCCATGCCATGAATAACCTTGGAAATATCTTGAAAGAAAGGAATGAGCTACAGGAAGCCGAGGAGCTGCTGTCTTTGGCCGTACAGATACAGTAAGCATTGTGTTTAGGATTACGCGAGTGATCAAGAAATGAGTTCCTGCATTCTGGCCTCTGAGTCTTCTTTCTCTTGTTTCTCTTCTTTTAAAAAAAAAAAAATGCTCTTGTAGGCCAGACTTTGCTGCCGCGTGGATGAATTTAGGCATTGTGCAGAACAGCCTGAAACGGTTTGAAGCAGCAGAGCAAAGTTACCGGACAGCAATTAAACACAGGAGGAAATACCCGGATTGTTACTACAACCTCGGGCGTCTGGTAAGCTCAGGGTGTCCTATGCCTGCAGAAGGAAAGATTGGATCTTTTTCTTACTTATAGTTAGATGGCTATATTTATAGTAAGGATGCCACCTAGCCCTCCACGTTTTATGAAGTTCTTCATATGTGTGTTTATCTCAGTTGAAGGTAGCTATTTGATTTCCTTACATGGAAGTTTTTCAAAGCTCTAATTAGAGAGCAGTTCAACTTGAATTAGTCAAGTTTAAGAGATCACTAAGGCTAAAGGTTAAACTGGGGAATAAATTAAAATATTTTAAATCCCTTCTGCCCTGTAAAACAATGCTTCAAGGGGTAACTTCCTGATAAACATCAGTTTCTCTGTTTTTAAAACAAGAATTGAATAAAAACTGAGATTAGAAAAACAAACCCATAGTATGATCTTTGAGCTTCCTTATTATTCTTCCTCAAGGGATCAGATCTTTTCATTTGCAGGAATCATTTTCCCCAAAAAATGACAGCTTCAGAGGACATGAGATCTATTTGAAAGAGCTTTGACATTATTAGATGGAAATAGAAAATAATATGCTCCATGGTAGCTTTATACTTTTGGCTATTGACAGAATATTTATGAAGACCTGATTGCTCTTGATTTTCTTGGCAAAAAAAAAAAGAGACACACAAATAGCAAAATTATTTCAATAAGAATGGTTATATTCTCCCCACAATCAACCAATTAATTTGGATTCAAGACCCCAAATATGTGTGTTCCTAATATATTTAGGTTTATAGATAAAATTAAGTAAAAAACGTTTTGTTCATATTAGCCCAACTGGAATACATGCATAGTGATGTGACTTTTTAAGAGGAATTTATATGTAGATTTCTAGATTCTTTTTTTTTTTTTTTTTTTTTTTTTTGAGTTGGAGTCTCTGTCACCCAGACTGGAGTGCAGTGGCCGCTCCCAGCCACCGCAGCCTCGCCTGCTGGGCTCCGGCCATCCTTCCGCCTCAGCCTTCCAAGTAGCCGGAATTACAGACATGTGCTACCACACCCAGCTGATTTTTTTATTTATTGTAGAGATGAAGTCTCACTGCCCAGGCGGGTCTCGAACCCACGGGCTCAGGCAATCCACTCACCTCAGCCTCCCAAAGGCGCAGGATTACAGGCTGAGCCACCGAGCCCGGCGATTTCTAGATTCTTTCCAGCTTAGCTTCACAGATAAGACAGCAACCTAGTGTTCTAACATGGTGCCCGCTTACCTTCATTTTAAAAGCCCAAAGCCACTTGGTTTTAAGAAGTCCTTGTGCAGTAGCACAAACCTGTAATCCTAGCACTTTGAGAGGCCAAGATGAGAGGATTGTCTGAGCTCAGGGGTCCAAGACCAGCCTGGGCAACATGGTGAGATCTTGTCTCTACAATAAATAAAAAAATTAGCCAGGTGTATTGGTGCACACCTGTAGTTCTGGCTGCTTGGAAGGCTGAGGCAGAAGGATTGCCTGAGCCCAGGAGGTCGATGCTGGGGTGGCCGTGAGCATGCTACTGCACTCTAGCCTGGGCGACAGAGTGAGACTCCGACTCGGAAAAAAAAAAGGTCTTGTGTTATCAAAACCAGTAGTTTCCAAAACTGATTGTGCATCTAAATCATCTCACCCCATTTCAGAGTTAGAGAATCAAAAACTCCATAGAGAATCTGTATTTTTAAAATAATAATAATAAGTCTAGGCCCCGTGGTTCATGCTTATAATCCCAGCATTTTGGGAGGCTGAGGTGGGAGGATCACTTGAGCCCAGAAGTTTGAAATCAGCCTAGGCAACATAGCGAGATCTTGTTTCTACAAAAAAAAAAAAAAAAAAAAAAAATTAGCCAGGTGTGGTGGTATACACCTGTAGTCCCCGCTGCTACTCAAGAAGCTGAGGAGGAAGGATTGCCTGAGCCCAGGAGGTCAAGACTGCAATGAGTCATGACTATGCCATCGCACTTAAGCCTGGAGGACAGAGTGAGACCCCATCTCAAAAGATAATAATAACAATAATAAATAACCCAGGTGATTCTATTACCCTGTTGTTGGCCATGCACCTGGGAAACAGCTCTGTATGAATTTTGACTGACTGACTGTGCATGTCAGAGTGGAAGGGATTGTTTGTAGAGAGCAACCTAGAAAACATTAACTGCCTTAAGTTTATTGAAAAGCCAGGCTTCCATTTTTACCATGATGTGAATGTCTTTGGCCTTCATATATTTGTTTCTGGACTACATAGCCATGACTTTGTGAGTTGTAGAGATAGAATTTTATGAATGGAGGAAACAAGATGGTGGAATGTATAGCAACGAGTGGTAAAATTTGACCTTTCCCATTCTGTAGAAGTCACTTTAAGTGGACGAATAATGTTTGTGTTACAAATGTTAAGGGGAAGTAGTTTGTGTGTTTTTATTATCCAAAAAACACGAAACATGTTTTAGTTGTGACGTACTATAGAAAATACCATCTCTGTGTGATCATTCCAGTGTGGAAAAGAGGAACTATTTCTCCCTGGGCACAGAGGGGAGGGTGGCCAAATTGAGATTGAATCCATGGAACAGCAAGATGTTTGAACAAGGAAGATCAATGACAAGATATTCTTGTGTCACGTTAACTTTCTCCAGAACCACTTGGCCTTGTGTACAATTCTGTTTTCTTTTACATTTTCAGATTCTGGGCTTTATGATCTTGTTATGTGCTTTGATGTTGAAGCAGCTTTCTCTAAAATCTGAGGATCCAGGGAGAGCTGAAGCTATTATGAGGATAAGCTGTCTGGGGCAGGAATTGGGGGAGCAGTAAAACTCACCATAATGCTACTAGTGGAGACCCCAAAATTCAATCACAGAGAAAGCAGGGATGAGCCTCACAAAGCTAATGTAGTGAGAATAGAAGCACATGGGGTATTGTCTGAATACATGCGTGTAGGTGGTTATGAATATGTGTGCAGGGATTACTGTTTGTATTTGCTGCATCTATTAAACTAATACTGGAGTGACTAAATTTTAGACTTCATAACCGTATGAATTCTTCTTTTATTCCTTTTTTTTTTTCTTTTCTGGGTGTCACTCTTCTTTTAGGCTGTTGCTTGCAAAGTGAGTGGGTCTGTCTACAGCCTCCTGGGTTATTCTCAAAAGCTCTAAGGTTAGGTCTTCTTCCTTCCCTAGGAGCTGCCTGTCAATGAGTTTCCTTGGGATTTGGAAAATAGAGAATTGATGCTAAATGCACCTTCTGTAAGAGTTATGTCCAAAGAAAGGAACATAGCACGTAAAATACTTAGAAGATCATCTGTAGCATGGAACAGATCGAGACCTTGCCCTGCTCTTTGTTTATATTGTTTACTAATTATGCCACCATGAAATGGTCTTCCTACATTCCTCTCTGCCAACTGCTCCTGCTTATTTAAGGCTTTTGCTGTCCATTGTGCTTTAATTATCCAGCTTTTGCCTGCTTGACAGCTTAAAAGCATTAAGAGCTTAATCTTTCAGAACTCAACCAACCCATTTATATATTGACAAATAAGAGGAACTTAACGACTTTAACGTTTGTTTATTAGAGAGCACTCTTTAATGACTGGAGACGGAAATTTGTTTTGATGTATGGACCCTGATTACGAAGGGAGTAGCATGCACTTCTTGTGGAATAGAAGATGAGGAGCTCAAGTGTTTGGGACATACACTGATCTGAGTTACAGTCAGTGTGGATGGAGGTATTCCTGGAGACAGTTCACCTTGCAGGGACTGGATGCATTCTGGAAAACAGAAGCCGTGTCAAGTGTTTTACATAGAGAAAATTTAACACAGGGAATAGGTTGGACAGCAAAAATGGAAAGGTACTATTAACTCAGAGATCAATAACTAAGGAAACCCCATGGGTTGGCAGGAACCCATAGGAGAAAGTGGGGTGACCACAATTTAAGAACTCATGAGGGGCTACCCTCTTAGAAGCTTCCACAACCTCAAGAGCTGAGATCGTGGAGGAAGGGCTGCTGCTTCCCAGTCCTAGGACTGTGGAGGAGGGGGAGGGGACACAGTCACTTCAGAGACACTGCCAAGGAAAGGTGGGAAAGAGAGAGAGTGAGGAGAAAGGACTGCATCCCTTTCTCCACCATCTGACACCTGTGACACCTGTTAGCAGAAAATAACATCCAACTCCTGCAATGCTGAGTCGCAAAGGAGCCTGGGAAATGTAGTTTGCAGACAGCTGGTTCCAGCTGTGCAGAGCAGAAGGACTAGTGGGTGGACAGTGTGCACATTGTCCATATGGTTTCAGGATGGGTAGCTCTGACTGTTTTTCTCTGCTTCCCCGAAGGAGCGTGTTCCCTTGGTATAGATGCTGTAAGAAAAGTAGAGGCTGAGACAGAATGAAAGCAAATTTTACCTGAGTCAGTCTGTTGTTGTTTTTCAATAAATCGTAATGAAAATATGTGAAGAATTTTGTTGTGTTGTATAAATGAAGTTATGATGTTTGTCCTGGGTGTGTTCGAATGTCACCATGATTTTGTCCAAGTGACTCAAATGCTTATCTCTTGCCGAAGAGAATTGGACTTGAGAAATCACAGGAACATCAAATAGAGAGAAAGTTAAATGTTGGTAAAACTAACCATGCCAAATTATTGTAGTTTTTTTGAACTTTTCATATCCTTTTCTCATTTAAAGGGTAGAGTTTCTGAGTCTTGTGGGAAATTCTGACATGGATTTCGTAGCAAATGGATATTCATAAATGTTTCCATAATTCATTAAACCTTTCTTTTTATTGTATAATATGCCACCTATTTGCTTTGTGGGTCATAGGACAAGTCAGAGTGTTTCAGTTGTCTAAAGAAAAGACAGACTTGGCAGTAAGTAAGGAAATAGTTTTAAGCTCTGGCAAATTGTGATCATTTGTACTTTTTGCTCAGTTCAAGTACATGCATTTGAACTTAAAGAGGGAAGGAGGGTTACCTGCTAAAAAAATCCATCACTTTCTCCGTTGTTTTTATTAACTATACTAATTGAGAGCTAGCCATTTTGTAATCTGTTATGGATGTTAAACAAAATTCCCTCTCAAAAGAAAGCAACAGATAATTCACTCTTTTCTGAATGAGGCAAACAGGCTCCAAATTGCCAGGAGATTTTTACATTATCATACAGGACCTTTCCAAAGTGTGTCTAATATACTCATATTTTTAGTTAACTTTAGGGAGAGGTAGGAAGAAGCTCCTAGACCATCCTTTTCATGGTGAATTGGATACAAACGGCTTTTGATCATGGAAATATTTTGTTTACTATTCTAAACAATACTTTATAAAAGATGGACTTATGAAGTCTTTCTGGAAAGAGACTGATGGCTAGCCTTCATACTTCAGTAGTCTGAAATATCAGTAGGCACCTAGAATCACTAAGTAATAAGTTACATTTAAGACGCTACAGGGGTGGAAACTAAACCATGTGGTTCTAATTTCTGTTCTACCATTTCTATATTGGTAACTTTGGGCAAGTTACTTCATTTCCCTGGGCCTTAGCTGCTTCATCTGTAAAATGGGAATAATAATAATAGCTATTTCTTTCTTTTTTTTTTTTTTTTTGAGTTGAAGTCTCACTCCATCTCCCAGGCTGGAGTGCAGTAGCATGCTCATGGGGGTTCAGGCAGTCCTTCCACCTCAGCCTTCAAAGTAGCCAGAACTATAGGCGTGCGCTACCACTCTTGGCTAATTTTTTTATTTTATTGTAGAGATGAGGTCTCACCAAGTTGCCCAGGCTGTTCTCGAACCCATGGGCTCAGGCAGTCCTCTCACCTCAGCCTCCCAAAGTGCGGGGATTACAGGCTTGAGCCACCACGCCTGGCCAATAATATCTATTTTATTGGGATAGTTTTGAGGATTAAATGAGTTGACAGAAAAATATTAGAAGCTTTGTAAGTAAAAGTGAAGTTTTTTTGTTTGTTTTCTGGATTCTTTCTTTTCTTTTTTTGGGGGGGGAGGGAGGAGATAAGGACTTGTAGAGAGAAAGCAGAAAACTTAACTTGGAATATTGACTTGTTGGTGTGTGATTTATTTTTAGTATGCAGATTTAAATCGTCATGTGGATGCATTGAATGCATGGAGGAATGCCACCGTGCTCAAACCAGAGCACAGTTTGGCCTGGAACAACATGATTATACTCCTCGATAATACAGGTACAACAAGGTGAATTGACCAAATCACATGAAATTGCTCCATGGTACAGTAACATTGAATACTTAGAGCAGAGATATGAATGTGCTTTTATGCTCCCCAAGTTTAAAACACTATGGGGTTAAATATTTTATATTACAAAAATGTCTATTCTTCTAGAAAATGAAATTTTCTTTGATATATTGGAATATGAATGTTTGGGAAAATGACACTTCACTTAGAACCCATGATCAATAGTGGAAGAAGAGATGTGACAATACCTTGTTTCTTCTGAAGCCTGTTACCTACCAGTGGCCATCCTCTGGCATGCTGGGTTACCCAGAAGTGTTACTATGATACCCCTTTTTTTTTTTGAGAGTCTTTTTTGTTGCCCAGACTAGAGTGCAGTGGCATGCTCATGGCCATTGCAACCTCAACCTGCTGGGCTCAGGTGATCTTTCATCTCAGCCTTCTAAGTAGCTGGAACCTCAAGCACGCACAATCACACCAGGCTAATTTTTCTGATTTATTGTAGAAACAAGGTCTCTCCAAGTTTCTCAGGCTGGTCAACACTCTGGGCTCAGGCAGTTCTCTCACCTCCACCTCCCAAAGTGCTGGGATTACAGGCATAAGCCCCTGTGCCCGGCCGATGATACTCTTATTTTGCAAACTTGTTTTCTGTGGTTTGGAGATAACTAGTATCTAGAGGAAAATTCAAACTAGGTTTTATATGCTTTTACAGAGTTTAATCAAAAGCTTTTTATGTGTTATGTCAGAATTGTCCTGAATTGTAATGGCTTTGCTATTCACTGGTGGGGTCGTGTGTGTGTGTGTATGTGTGTGTATGCATTACATGGTCTACATGAATTTTCTTCAGTAGTTTATTCAGTAGTGTTGTGTACTATGCCCATAAGCCCTGTTAATTATAGAGAGGAGACTAAAACATGAGTAGAGCATTAACATTTTTTTTATTTTTCCATTTTTCACTCCCAGGTAATTTAGCCCAAGCTGAAGCAGTTGGAAGAGAGGCACTGGAATTAATACCTAATGATCACTCTCTTATGTTCTCGCTGGCAAACGTGCTGGGGAAATCCCAGAAATACAAGGTGTGTAAACTGCAGGCCGTGATTTCTTGCAGTCAATGCCAACATCTGACAGAAGCCATAAGTGTTACTTCTGCCCAGTTAAATTCGGAATTAGGCCAAAACAGTGGCAGTGGTGTCCCATTGTGGCTTGGTCTGTTTGTTTCCTGGAGAAGTTGCCTGAAAGATGGATGTGTGGGGTCAAACCCAGTGTCCTTTCTCATCAAAATAAACCACTGTTGTTTACATGTGGGGCAAGAGGGAAGAAAAGCCCAAGGAAGGCACAGGAAAGGGCAGGAGCTGCGAAGCAGTTGGCCTCACTTGCTAGTGGAGGAGAAAGACACAGGGTGGTGATGCCATGTCTCCGAGATGCCCCAGGCTCACCCCAGCAAGAAGGGGTTTGACTCTGTCCCTTGGGCTTGGGCTTGGGCTGGGCTCTGAGTTTTATCTGTGGGTGCTTCTTCTGCACAAAAGAATAATTTGCCTGTCGATGACAAATGTCTGCTTCTTGCTGCTTCCAAGTTTTTCTATATTTAAGTTACAAGCCATCAGTGAGGCTCAGAGGTTTCTGACCAGCAAAAACCACAAGATATTAAATTTGGGCTCCCAGCACTGGGCAACAGCAGGCTATGTATAGCTCCCTGTGTATTGGAGAGGACTTAAGGTTCCTAATACCAATGATCTCAAACTTTAATTTTGTATATCAGAATCACCAAGGAAGCTTGTTAATACACAGATGGTCAGATTTCCTCCCCACAAGAGATCATCTCCTTGGGTTGGACCAGGTCAGGGAATATGCATTTTAGCTAGCATCCTGAGTGTTACTGAAGCAGTGCCTTAGTCCTTTTGTGAGAGAAATATATATATATATATATATATATATATATATATATATATATATATTTTTTTTTTTTTTTTTTTTTTTTTTTTGAGTTGAAGTCTCACTTCGTCACCCAGGCTGGAGTGCAGCGGGCATGCTCACAGCCATCCCAGCTGGGCTCTGGCAATCCTTCCGCCTCAGCCTTCCAAGTAGCCGGAACTACAGGTGTGCACTACCACACCTGGCTAATTTTTTAATTTTATTGTAGAGATGAGGTCTCACCATGTTGCCCAGGCTGATCTCAAATCTGTAGGCTCAGGTAATACTCTTTCCTCAGCCTCCTAAAGTGCTGGGATTACAGGCTTGAGCCAGCGTGCCTGGCAGAAAGAAATATTATATTTCAGAAGCGGGGCTATATCTTTTGTTGATCACTTTGAGGTTATGGATTAGACAGTAGGCCTACAGGCGGCAACTAGTTAATATTTGTGCAATGTTATTTACTTATCTTTTTCATTCATTAGATGTCATTATCAGTATAATTTTCTATGACAAGAGTAAGATTTGTCGTGTGTTTTCCCTCAGTTTTGAATATCAGGGAGTTTAATAGCCTCACCATACATGTCTAGCATTTCTAGATGTCGCTCCATAGACAGCTCTCTGAGGTTTAGTTTTAGATTTTATGGTTCTCCTTGTGTTGCAGAAGAAGGAGGTGATGTTTACAGGTTTCTCTTCTCATGACCTTCCAGCCATCTGTCAGCCTGGAATGGGTCAGGAGTCTTAGTTCTCTTCCAGTGACCCAGCTACAGTGAGTCTTCTTCAAGATTCGGCTTATATAATCATTGTACTGATTTTTCTATCATCCCACAGTCTGTAAACAGGAATGTCTATCAAGGGGACAGAGTCCAGGGTTCATCTGGCTTCCAGTTCACATTGTTCTGTCCCCCCCCCAGATAAAGTAGAAAATACTCCGTAAAGCAGAATGAAGAAATCCGTTTTCCATTTCTTTACACATTTTGCATCCTAACTAGCAAGGCCACAACTCTGAGCCTAAGATAAGGAAATAGAAGATGAAATCTGAAATAAAGAGCTCACTATGAGCTCTTCTGGAGTCACTAAGGGAGGACATGATGTGACTCCCTAAACCATCATGTCAGCCACCAACCAAGCATTTAATGTATTTTTTCAGTTACGGATTTGGGATTTTAAACAACTGTTTAGGATTTTGTCTCATAATCCAGCAGTGATAGCTGATTGCTATTGGTCAGGTTCGGCAATGTGCATCCCTGGTACTGTTGGTGTCAGGGTGTAGTGAAAGGGCCCTTTTTCCTTGCAGAGACCTGGGTAGGACGCTCTGGAGACGAGACGATGTGGTGGCGACGTTAGAGCTGGTTGAACAGACCCTCTGGCTTGGTGATTGTGCCAGCAGGACGGGTGTCTGCTGTCTGACAACTCACTTGTCACCTAAGCGCTTACTGTTTTATATTTTCATTCACTTGGCAAATCTCCTTAGAGAGCATGGAGGTTTTTGTGGTTGGGCTGAGTCTTCAGTCCTATTTTTACATCTCCATTGCTGTCCGGCATGCTGATGGACATTTAGTAAATGCCACTTAGTAGTTATGAAATGACTGAGTACATCCCTCCTTCAGTGGGGAAACACTCAGGCTTCCAGAAGCTATTTTGAGACGTCATTGTGCAGAGTGAGCGTTCTCATTTGTTATGTCCATGTGGTTCTAGGATTCCTTTTTTTAATCCTATCTGAGTAGCCCTTTTAAAAGCCTATCAGCAGTCACTTAACCTCTCCTGGCCTCGGTTTGATCTTCTTTAAAATGGAGAAAATGATCTGCCCAACCTCCTGACAGGGTGATATGAAAAAATATACAGGAACATAACTTGTAACTGTTAAATAGTAAATATATATAGTACTAATTTTAGCCTAGTGATCATTAAATGAAACTCTAAGAGTCATTACAGTGTATTAGAATGGGCTAGGCATGGTGGCTCAGCCTGTAATCCCGGCACTTTGGGAGGCTGAGGTGAGAGAATTGAGCCTGGGGGGTTCAAGACCCACCTGGGCAACTTGATGAGACCTCTTCTCTACAATAAAACACAAAAAATTAGCCAGGCATGGTGGTGTGCGTCTGTAGTTCCAGCTACTTGGAAGGCTGAGGCAGAAGGATCACCTAAGCTCAGCAGGTCAAATTGCAGTGGCCATGAGTGCGCTACTGCACTCCAGCTTGGGTGACAGAGTGAGATGACAACCAAAAAAAAGTATTAGAATGTATATGTATATTGCCATTTAATTTCCAACTTAGGGCTAAAGTGGTAAACCAAAAAATACAGAAGAAATGTTTTCCAATGCTGAAAGCGTTGCTTCCCACGCTGATTTCTCTTTCTATGGAGGAAATTCCTCTGGCCCCGCAGTTCAAAAGCAGATTCCACTGGTAGAGGTGCAGTTTCCCAAACTCCCGGCATATATGCCACACCTTTATAAAAGCTACTTTTTTTTTTTTTGCCATATCTAGATATTACCTGATCAATTTACTTAATAAAGTATTTACTTTAAAATACATTGTTAATGCAAATAAATGTATGTAAAGTAGCAACATCATTATACTATCACAATAAATACAAGGTAACGGAAAATGAAATGATTCTACAAAATCCCAGCTAGATACTATTGCTGGCCAAGGCTCCAAGCCAGAGGGTCGTCCTCTCTCAGCTTCAAGGAGAGACTGGCAGGTGTGAGAACATGTAACCCACATACCACCGGCAAGTGCAGACTCCTGCCCCCAAGCAATCAGAAGGAGGAAGGAGAACTGAGCAGGGATAACGCTCTTCCTGCGTGACTCATGGTATCAGCTTCATATCAGGATGCCGACATCACCTTCCCCAATTCCCACAGGATGTAAAGCGGCCCCTGTGAAACACTGCCTGGGGCAACCTCTCAGGCATGGGGATCTGCAGCAGCTGCTGTGGCAGAAACGACCCCTGCCTGCCCTCTCTTCCTCACTAGGACTGAGACCTGCACTTGTTCCTACTTAGAGACACAATTTGCAAGACCTTTCTCAGCCCTAAACCTTTGTGGCATACATTCTGTCTGATACTGTTCAGAAAATAATATATTATTTTTCCCCGTTTTGTCGATGAAAAATAATTCCCAATTTAAAATGTGAGGGTTTTTTGGTTCACTGGCATAAAGCAGCTCATTGTGTGGGTGTTACCCATGCAGACACCTCCACAGAAAATCAGTTTACAGACAGTTCACTGCTTTTCAGCATGGGGCCATCAGAAAACCTGACTTCATAGATGAGCACCTCATGGGCTTTGAATACCTACAGATATTCTGCCCTGCCTTCTCTAAGATGGAGCAGTTCTGACTCACACACACCTCCCCCAAGCCAGCTCTTCCTCCTGATCCCCCTCTTCGGTCCATGTGCCATCATGTTTCTGTCACCCAGGCTTGGAATTAGTGACTCCTTCCTTGTTGTTCCCCTGGCCCAGTGCTTTCTTTTCGTTCTTTCTCATCCCTGTTCCTTCCCACCCAGACTTCTCACCCTACAGAGTTCAGGCCCCACCTAGCCAACAGCAGCACCACTGTGATCCCCATACCTGCTGACTCCTTCTCATCCCGAGTGACACCCACCATCATGGGCATCTGAGAGGTTAGGTGAATGACTGAAGAAATCCAGCAATCCTAGAAAACCCCCAGCTTGCTTTTTATCCCTGAACCAGTTCCCTCTGGTTAACAGTACTTCATTTGCAGATGCAGGGGAGCATTGTTAGGTAGACTTGGTTATTGGTGCCCCGGCCTTCTATTTCTCAAGTTTAGGTTTTAAATGGAAATGTTTGAAAATCATCAGAAACAGCACAACTATTAGAAACCACTCCAAAACCACACAATCCATCATGTGATTTTCTTTCTTTCTTTCTTTTTTAGCTTACCTGATGTGGCAGGAAAATCTTGACACTCTTTGAAGGCATTTCAGTTAGTAAAACTTGGATCGTAGATGCTGACTTTGAACTGGCATCCTGCATGTTATCCTTTTTTTTTTTTTTTCTGAGTTGGGGGTCTCACTCAGTCACCCAGGCTGGAGTGAAGTGCAGTGGCACAATCGTGGTTCACCACAGCCTTAACTTTCTGGGCTCAGGAGATTCTTCTGCCTCGGCCTCCTAAGTAGCTGTGCAACAGGCATGCACCGCCATGCCTGGCTAAGTGATTATATTTAGTAGATACAAGGCCCTACCAGGTTGCCCAGGTTGGTCTTGAACTCCTGGGCTCAAGTTTCCAAGTTTCCCTTCTCAGCTTTCCAAAGTACGGAGATAACAGGCATGAGCCACCACACCCAGTGTTTATATATTATCTTGATGTTTTCATTCAATTCCTTCAGATGACATTTCTAAAATCTAAATTTTCCTCTGCCAGCTCTGTCTGGAAGGCAGTGCAACTTTTTCCGAGATGTGATAGAGCAGAGGAGCTGGTGGTCTTGCGCATTGTAAAATGCACAGTCCCAGATATGGGAAGCCCAGCCAGAGAAACTCAAGTATGCTTGGCCTTTTAGGAATACGGAAGTGGGTGGAGCGAAAAGCACCCTGGGTACATGTCAGTGACAGGTTAGGCATCTTTATTTCCGGCCTTGTGGTAGAAAGGGACCAGATTTGGTTCAGCAGTGATCAGGCGGTAAGACACTTTGCCCTGCTTCTTAGAGGTCAGATTAGAAGTGAGTACTGCTTGGAGGAATTGCAAATCTGTCTAAGAATTGATTCATGCCCATCAGGGCCATTTGGTCATGGGCACATCCTATACTGTGACAGTGTAGGTGACAGGTGACCGTTCCTCCTTCATTCTCTATTCACGTTTTCCAGCCAAATGGGCTGCTTTGGGGCTGTCGAGGGTGTTGGGGCTTCTTGGGGGCGATGATATCAGCCCCAACTCCCACCTTGAGTGCCATGGAAGTGAGTTCCTTGGTGCTGGTGAAACGTGGCACTTGCAGGGTTGTTCAACAGCCTAGCCCTCTCCTGCTCTCTGGATTTTCATCCTCCCTGCACCCCGCCCCAGGCGACTTGCAGAAAGTTGCAGAACTCCAACCATGACGGGGGGCGGGGCAGGTGGTGGCATCTGTGAGCATATGCATCCCCTCTCTGCAGTTACCACTGCCTCCCGCTGTCCCACATCACTTTTGCTTCCTCCTGACTCTTCGGAGCCTCTCTTCAGCAGAGCGCACCCCTACCGGGCCTTTCGAGTGTTCTGGAAGAAGGCAGTGATACAAAAGGAGGACAGGCAAAGTTTGAAAACCATGGGTGATAAGACGGAATCGCTTTTGCGTTGTGTACGATAAATACCTCGTTTGTGTGCCTTTCGTTTTTTAGGAATCGGAAGCTTTATTCCTCAAGGCAATTAAAGCGAATCCAAATGCTGCAAGTTACCATGGAAATTTGGGTAAGAAAGATTTTCAACTTGAATCATATTGCAATTCTGTGTAATTTTAATGAAATGGGCACGTTTCTGTAAAATCAATGTTGGCAGAGTCGTTTTTTTCCAAAGCCAATCCTGGCTTTAAAATGTGGCTTTATTATTACATTTTAAAAGTAGCAATGTAATAGTTATGCTTTTACAAATCTTAATTGCATGATCAGAACAACCCTAAACTTGTCCATTCAGTTGCTCACCTTCTAATGATCAAAAGTCAGATTGGGGGGGGGTGGCAGGGGGCGGAAGATCCCAGAATGTTCATCTGGAAGGGACTTTGGAAGTTTGCCCTCTCTTCTCCTTCACTTTCCTTCTTTCTTCCAGAGTAGACCTTCCCTTCCAGCCTGGTCTTACCTGCTTTCTTGTGTCTCCTTATATCTTGGCTAAAAATGCATTTATCATTACTTATTCTCTAGAACTCACTTTTTCCGTTTTTACATCTCCAAAGTTAAGATTTGTAGAGCACAGCATGTTGATGCTTAGAATGTTTGGTCATCCAGATTGTTTTTCCACTACATCTATTCTCCACCAACTCTGAAGCATCTTATCACAAAAGTCCCAAAGCATCCCTACGGGCTCTTCTGCCCATAAAGTTGACTTTTTCTAACCAAATCATTATAACAATCAAGGGCTTATCATTTTAATAACCAGGTTTATTGAAACTGTCATTTTAGGGCTAGATTTTGATGTCAGAGGTCTTATTTCTAAATGGCAACCTACAAGCTATTACTTTATTAAAATAAATGGGGCAACCACTTTGGGTCCCCTCCCACTGTGGGAGCTTTGCTGTCCTCTCAATAAATCCTGCTTTCTCACTAAAAAAAGTAAAATAATAAAATGAAAGTAAAATAAATGGCTGAACTTCTGTATAGTCAGGGCTCTAAGCAGTGCCTAGAGTCCTGCCCGACCTGGCCTGGCTTCCCAGAAATTTTGTGGCATCACTGAGATCTTTAATGTTCTCTTTTTTTTTTTTTTAATTTTTGGAACTTCAGAGTCTCAATTGTTACCCAGGCTGGAGTGCAGTAGTATGATCCCAGCTTACTGCAGCCTCAAACTCCTGGGCTCAGGCAATCCTTCCAGCTCAGCCTCCCAAGTAACTGGGACTACAGGTGTGAAATCATCCCACCCCGCTTATTTTTTTATTTTTGTAAAGATGAGGTCTTACTATGTTGCCCAGGCTGGTTTTGAACTCCTAGACTCAAGCAATCCTCTCACCTAAGCCTCCCAAAGTACTGGGATTACAGCTTTTTCTTTTTACTACTTTACATGGTAATGTTCCTATGGGCAAATATATCCTGTCTTGCACTAGGAAGAGCCCTAGGAGCAATTGGCCGAGGTTAAATGGATAATCACCAGGGTGTGTGATTACAATAAATAAAATTTTCAGTACAAACAATATTTTTTTAATACAATGACTTTTGCAAACTGCTTGCAAAGGTTCTGTAATATTTCTTTGTACAAGTGGCTAGGAATACTGCAAGTTATTCAGAAGCATTTCCAGTGAAATTCATCTCCTGCTGTTTCAGCTGTGCTCTATCATCGCTGGGGACATCTAGACATGGCCAAGAAACACTACGAAATCTCCTTGCAGCTTGATCCCACAGCTGCAGGAACCAAGGAGAATTACGGTCTTCTAAGAAGAAAGCTAGAACAAATGCGAAAGAAAGACGCCTGATCCTTCTTCCTTGGTTTTCCGAGTTTGTGCGTGTGTGTGCATGAGGTGTGTTATTCCTATCATGTGGTTACATTTAACCATTTAAAAGTCCTAGACATGTTATTTATTTTACTGTGGTTTTTTCTATGAAAACAAAGACATGCAAAAAGATTACAGCACCAGCAATATACTCTTGAATGCTTGATATGATTTTTGCATTGAAATTGTATTTTTTCAGACAACTCAAATGTAATTCTAAGATTCCAAAAGTAGTCTTTTTTAATTAAACAGAAAAAGAGAAAAAATTATCTAGAGCAACTTGTAGCAGAATTAAAACTGCATATGGGATATGAGCCTTGCTGTGTATGAGCTAGCACTATTAAACTTCAATTGTGACCAAGAAAGGACAGATTGATTCCTATAACTTATATAAATGTCAAATGTGTCTGTATATTAGCATTTTTATTTAATGACAAGAAAGAGAAAATTAAGATTCTTGTTTTTTAATCTCTTTTTTTAAAAACAATATACTGTGAACTTCATTTGTAAGGAAATATTTATTTGTATTATGTTTGGACTAGAGCGGATAATTGAATGAATAATGGAAATTTTAACATCTGGTATAGCTATATGCTTTTCCCCCAGAAGAAAAATTACTCCGGCAATATTTTTTTCGGGGGGGGGGGATTCTCCAACTTGTGCAGTTTCAATACATAGGAGATTATGTCATATTCTAGACAAACTGTCACTATCAATAGAGAACTCAAGCCATGCTTCAGGCAAGAAGGGTCAGCCTGATCTGTGTATTTTTGTTACATCTAGTGTTAAGAGAGTGACACATCTATGTAAGTTGCTTTTTTTATGTTTTTAAATGCAAAGCAGTTTTCCACTTTGCCTAATGGAACTACAGATTTTCTTCAGAAAATGCAAAGGGAGCAACATTTGGGGAGTTTGGTCTTTTTGAGAATTGGGTTATTTTTCCTGCTTTATTTGATCCAATCATGTTTATTTGTTTTGTTTTATTCTCTATACGCATTGATCTAATAATTTATGCAATCTCTGTCATTTCTTATGCAGTAAAATTATTACACAAACTACCATGAGAATGTCATATTGCCTTCGTAATTGATGATTTTCAAATGAGTGAACTTTGCATGTCCTCCCTTACCTTAAAATGAAATCAAAGTGGCCAAGTCATCTTTTCTAGAATGTGGCTTCTATTTGGTTCTGGAGACCATTTCATAGATTGCACTAGAGTTATCCAAGTTCAGAGAGCAGGGTAAATGGATCCACATTAGATGAACTTAATTCTTACATTCACTTTGGGGGGTGGGTGCAGATCTGTGCAGTGTTGTAAATCAGTAATTGTAATTTCCAGTGACTGAGATCTATCAGAAAAGAAAGTGCGGTATTTGAAAAAACAAAATTTTTTTTGAGTCAGGGTCTCACTCTGTTACCCAGGCTGGAATATAGTAGCATAACCATGGCTCACTGCAGCCTCCACCTCCTGGCTTCAGGCAATCAATCCTTCCACCTCAGCCTCCCAAGTAGCTGGGACTACAAGTGCATGCCATCACATTCAGCAATTTTTTTTATTTTTTGTAGAGATGAGGTCTCACTAAGTGTCCAAGCTGAACTCCTGGGCTCAAGCAGGCCTCCTACCTTGGACTCCCAAAGTGCTGGGATGACAGGCATGAACCACTGCAACTGGCCTGAACATTTCTTAAACGGTCTCAAGACAACAGTAATAATCTGTATCTCTCTTTAGGGGCAGGGACTATCTTATTTGTATTTGTTCCTATAATGCTTTGCTTGGGGGATGAGGGGTGACCCCCCCCCAAAAAAACTGCAATTATCTTTTGGAGGGTGGGCCCCTTGTAGTAGGGGCTTCCCCCACTAGGTAAGTGTTCTAGGAACCCATTGGCATCAGTGCACCAGCTAGTGCTATCGTGAGAGGCTGTGTTCAGCTTTCAGTGAATTTTTTTTGCGGCAAACATGGTGATTGGTTCTTCACCATGACAACACACCTGCCCACACCACACTGAGTGTTCAGCAGTTTTTGACTCAGAAGGGCATGACCCCATGCCCCACCCTTACTATTCGCCTGATCTTACACCAAAGGGATTTTTTTTTTCCCTTGAGTTGGAGTCTCACTCTGTCACCTAGACTGGAGTGCAGTGGCCGCTCCCGGCCACTGCAGCCTCGACCTGCTGGGCTCCGGCGATCCTTCCGTCTCAGCCTTCCAAGTAGCTGGAACTACAGGCATGCACTACCACGCCCGGCTAGTTTTTTGATTTATTGTAGAGATGAAGTTGCCCAGGCGGGTCTCGAACCCACGGGCTCAGGCAATCCACTCACCTCAGCCTCCCAAAGCACAGGATTACAGGCTGAGCCACCGAGCCTGGCTCCAAAGTTATTTTATTTTATTTTATTTTGCTTCCCCTAATAAAAAAGTCCTCAAAGAGAAATGTTTTGCTGATGAGGAAGAGGTGAAATTGAAGAAAAAACAAACAGCAGAAGCACTAAAAGACAACAAAAATGACAAGTTAAAAACTGTTTTGAGCAGTGGAAAAAGCATCTTGATAGGTGTATTACATCAAACGGAGAGTACTTTGAAGGTGACTGAAGTTTAAACATGTAAGAATACACAATTTTTTATAAATAAATTCTGGGTTTTTGTGGGTCCCCTCTTGTATAACAGATGCACTATAAGGTTTGTTGATTTTTTTTTAAGGCAAATTAAAACAAATCAAAAAATAATACTTGTCTCTTGAGAATAAAGGGAAAAAAATGATGCTTCTTGTAAGAGCCCCTTCAGGATCCACTTTTTTTCTTTTTTCCACTAATACTAAAACTTTAGTGTCAAATCAAGACGTGCAAATCTGGACCCCTGCCTCCAGATGAGTCCCCTTAGTTTTCACTGCTCCTGCTCCCAGGATCTCTATTGCAGCTGCTTTCCTTCCAGAGAAAACAGTCATTAATTTGATTGATATTTCAGGAAGTCTTTTATCTCTGCAGATTTTGGAAGAGTCCCACGCCGGCTCTCTTTTCTTCTGTTTCCATCTGAAGGCAGCCACCCGCTTTGTTTCTTCGGTTTCCTTCCAAACAAGACTGAAGTGGAAGGCTGTCTCCTCGTTCCTCTGTTGTTTGGTGTCTTTTTTAAAATTTTAATGTTTTTCTTGCTAATGACAGTTGGGAGGCAGGTGTCAAAACAAACATTGGGAAGTCACAAGTTTGGGAAATCTCATCACTATCCTTCACCTCCTTGAGAGAGCATCAGCTAATCTGGAAAGAGTTGGGGCTGCTGGTTGGTTGAATACATGTCACTACACTGTTTCCTCCCTGTTCCCTACTTGTTCCAATTTTTAACTTGAACGCAGGTTTGCATTTTTTTCTCTCAAGTTTCATTCTGCCAGGCCTTGACAGGACTCCTTTGGGGTCTGTTTGTAACTCATTGCTTAAACATGTTCTTTACATTTTATTGCAAATTACAAAATATGCAGAACAGGAGGCTGAGCCCTACCCCAAAGCACTGTACTGCCAGGTCCATGTTCACACCCAAACAGCTTGCCCTGGGTGGGGAGTGGTGAGAAAACCCAGATTTGGGCATCAAGTCATTTAGCGTTGCTTAAGCCTCATTGAGGATAATAAGACCCCTCTCGTAATAAGGTAGAAAGCTCTCGGTCTGGTGAACTGTTGATAAATGATAGGCTGGATTTTTGAAAGAGGGTCTATGTTTGGGTCAGACAGATCTGGCCTTAAATACGTTTCTACCCACATTTCCCCAACAAATATTAAGTGCCTACTATGTGCCAGATACTGCCTTGGGCACTGGGAATACAAAGATGAATGGGAACGGACATGGTGGTTTGCCCTCAGGATGGGGCAGTCCAGGGAGAGACAATCATTATCAAACAGTTGTGTTGTTAAGAACTGAGGAGGGAGGCCTGATCTAACCTGAAAAGTCAGAAAAGGGATCCCTGAGAAGGTGACTTCTGGCCTGAGATTGACAGAGAGGAAGGTCGCTCTAGGTTACTTGTCCTCAGTCAGGGAGAAGATCCAAGGTGCGTCTGGCAAAGCCAGGAGATATTTTTGGTTGTTAAAACTGACTTGGAAGGGGGAGAGGTGGCAGGGATGCAGCTGTACATCCTATAATGCACAGGACAACCCTTCACAAAAGATAATTATCTGACCCTGAACATCAGTAGTACCAAGGTTGAGAAGACCTGGACCACACAGAAGAAACAGCACATGCAAAGGCCCTGTGGTGAGAAAGGGCCAAGGAGGAAGCAGAGGGTCACCTGATGGGGCCGGCAAAGGCAACTCCAGCCAGCTTATGCCAGGGTTCACATACCAACTGGTGTTTATCAAACTGTGGGAAATGAGGAGAGGCACAGAGGACATGAGCAGAGGAGTAAGCAGACCATTTCCAGAGCCCAGCATCGTGGTGAAGGTGGCTTGGTGCAGCCAGATGGCAGTGAGGCTGGAGAAATCTGGATGGATGTATGAAACGTTTGAGTCAATTGGTGAAGGATAGGAGCTAGGACATGAGTGAATGAGAGGTGCTGACGACTCTCATGCAATTCAGCACAGGCTGGGTGCAGTGGCTCAAGTCTATAATCACACCTGTCATCTTAGGCAGGCAGAGGCAGGAGAATTGCTTGAGGCCAGGAGTTTGAAGCTGCGGTGGGCCATGATTACACAACTGTACTTCAGCCTGGGTCACAGACTGAGAGTTCATCTCTTAAAAAAAAAGTTACTTAATTTAAAACAATTCAACACAGAAGCCATTGAGAGGGAGAATCTGGCTGTAGACTAGAAAGAGCAGATTCTTGAGAAGAAAGAGATGGGCCCCCAATAAACCAGGTGGCGTGTGGCTTTACAAAAGAGGGAAAAGCTCTTGTGTGTTTCAAGGTCCAGATGGAAACTGCTATAGACATCTCTGCACATGTATACAGCTGGCCAAACTCCAGTTGCAACATTCAGTAGCCACAATACAAGGGTTTCAACCTTTCCAAGTCACAACTTCTTCATTAAGAGAAAAGCAGGTGATAATGTCTAACCTGCAAGGTTGTTGTGAAGATGAATGTTAATACAAAATGTCTAAAGCCACACTGTCCAATAAGGTAGCCACTTGCCACGTGTGACTCCTAAGCACCCGAAATGTGGCCAAGCCAAGTGGAGGTATGCTGTAAGCATAAAATACATACTGGATGTTGAAGCCCTACTATGAAACATTAATGAGAGATATTGTAATTATTCTCATATTAATTCCATGTTGAAGTAACATTTTAGATATATTGGATTAAAGAAAACATGATTCAATCTAATTTCTCTTTTTTCTTAACTTTTTTGTTAGTGTGACTAGTTTTAGTTTGTGTGGCTACTAAATTTAAAATTCCATCTGTGGTTTTCATTTGTAGCTCACTTTATATTTCTAGTGAGCAGTGCTGGGCTAGAACACAGGAGGAACCGAGTACATGGTACCCACCTAGCAATATAATTCATTTTTTAAAAAAGATCCTTGTCCAGGCTTGGTGGCTCAGCCTGTAATCCCAGCACTTTCAGGGGCCAAAGCGAGAGGATTGCTTGAGCCCGCGGGTTCGAGACCAGCCGGGCAACTTGGCAAGACCTCATTTCCACAATAAATTTTTAAAAAATTAGCCAGGCATGGTAGCAAGTGCCTGTAGTTCCAGTTACTTGAAAGGCTGAGGCGGAAGGATTGCCTGAGCCCAGCAGGTTGACGCTGGGTGGCCATGAGTATGCCACTGCACTCCACAGCCTGGGCCACAGAGTGAGACTCCAACTCAAAATAAATAAAATAAAATGTATTAGCCGGGCTCGGTGGCTCAGCCTGTAATCCTGCGCCTTTGGGAGGCTGAGGTGAGTGAATGGCCTGAGCCCGCGGATTTGAGACCTGCCTGGGCAGTGAGACCTCATCTCTACAAAAATCAAAAAATTAGCCGGGCATGGTAGCGCACACCTGTAATTCCGGCTACTTGGAAGGCTGAGGCGGAAGGAAGGGAGCGGCCACTGCACTCCAGTCTGGGTGACAGAGTGAGACTCCAACTCAAAAAATAAAAATAAAAAATAAATA